TCATCTTACTGACGAGCGTCAAATAGCACGAAATCTAGATCCAGGGTTTCTTGTCGACTAATCCCAACTTTTAGCATTAGCATTTGATTTATTTGCGTAATCACGTTTAATCTGTTATTTAACAGATGAATAAAATTCATAGTGTTATTCTAGAATTAAAAATATTGACGAAGTTCTCATTATTTAGTTCAATTATAATTGAAATAGAATGAAGATGGGTAGAAGATAACTTCTCGAGAATATGTTAGCTGATCAATATCTCGTTAAACAGTTATTTTCATTTCGTTATATTCAAGTATACTTTTCTGAAAATAAAACATTAGTTGAAATATTTTCCCTGATGAGTTTTATAACGATAACTCTCTGAAATAATGCGATTTGTATAAATGTAGAACATATTTCAAAATCACGATGAATGTGCTTGTTATAAGAGTACACTTGAATAAAAGCTCTTATATATATATCATGAAGATCACACAATAAATTTTTGAGCAATATTATATATCTAGGTCACTTATGGTGATTTCTACCTGTTACTGTCACTCAATTCCGGACAAATAATATATTTTGTACTTCTTCAAATTACTGCTAAACGTGTTATTTTCTCAAGTTTAGATTTTAATGGGGTAGTTATTGAATATAAGAATAGTATTTGCGCAGGCATATTATTGCATAAAGATAAATATAAGAAAGTGAAACTTATTATGTATGATTGAGTTGTATGCACATTCCTATTTAGCCTGCATCATATATATATATATATATATATATATATATATATATATATATATATATATATATATATATATGAATAATGTTAATTTATTACTCTTGTATTATATTAGAATTAGTTTCATTATCTTCTTGACAAATTTTATTGATGTTTGAAACCAGAACAGTTATAAAATGAATTTAATCCACGTACTTTTTAGCCAAACCAATTCCATTTCTTATAGGTTTGTGGATATTGTTTATTGTAGATATGAATGTTTCATTATGAGGGTTTTACTGAAACCACGAATTGATCTTCGTTAGATAACGAATGGGAACCTGGGAGTACTGGACGTCGTTTCATCTTAGTGTAAGAGTTCTCACCAGTGAGCATCCATGACTCCGCTATCGGCTGTTGTGTTCTTGTAAGTGCACTTCTGAAGAGTCCCACACTCAAACAAAATGACGAACTAGCCCTTCCAGGTTTTTAGTGATTGTTTAACAGATCGGTTCTTGGTCATAATAAATGTAATCAATCTCTAAAACCTCATACTAATAATCATTTTAGTTAGAAAATCAATGAAACTTATGGGATTGTTTTGTCCTAATTTGGGACTCCTCACCGAAGTTCATTTTATTAATCCTTCAGGGATCAAAAGTGTAACCTTGAGGTCTACTAATGTGCTGAATACATTCAGACTATCAGATTACGAACTGACAGTTTAAACTAATACATAATGTCTGTTTATCAAAATTATCGTATACGATGTAAAAACTTCAAATTTAACAATCTTTACAATACAATAAATCATAGAAATAAGTCAAAACTAGTGCTTTTCAATTTTAAACTTAATTCTTTCTTATTATTGATAGAAATAGATTATTTTACCTTATTTTTACTTTCCATATCTTTATTTATCCATCGAATAATGTATTATTTACCAAAGTAATCTGATGATTATAATGATGGGGCTCTTTTTTTCAATAAAAAAAATAAATAATGAAGTTAGACATTAACACTATTAGATGCTGGCCGGCTCAATGGTCTAATGGTTAAGCGCTCACGCATGAGACTGATAGATTCTGAGTTCAAATTTCGCGGGAGGCGGGATCATGGATGCACACTGCCGAGGAGTCCCATAGTCGGACGAAACGGACATCCAGTAGGGCTTCCATGTTTTCCATGTTGATCTATCTTCAATTGGCTCATAAATTTAACTAGTGAAATTTCTAAACTCTCCACAAAACCCCTTCTGAAAATAAATAAATAGTTTTATTAACTTTCCAATATTTAGATTAACTAACATCGGTAAATGTTTTCGGTAAAAAAGAAAAAAAAAACGTTGCGCATTACTGATCTGTACAAAACTTATTTTCATTAGAATTTCTTTTTAAAGATTGGCATTATTTTATGTATTATGTAATAAATAACTGATTCATTTATGAATTGTGTTTTACAGTATAAACACTGACTAATAAAATTGAAATGAATATAGTAATAATATAATGTCCAAATTATAGTTGTTTCTATATGAAAACAAATAAAAATGGATAAGCCGATAGGATGATTGTTAAAAATATGGTACTGATTGTAAAATTGTTATGACATTTATTAATTCTAAGTTAAAAACACATTAGACATTAAATAAAAAGGAAAATTTAAAAAAAAATGAACCCAATAAATCTATTTTGGTAAATAAACCAAAAGTTTATTACGAAAAAGAAAAGAAAATGTATCTGGAATTTGTTATATCCTAGTGAGGGTTACATTACTAGTAACTACAGGAACTAATAATGCACTAATGTTATATATATATATATATATATATATATATATATATATATATATATATATATATATATATAACTTACTTACGCCTATTACTCTCAATGAAGCATAGGCCGCCGACCAACATTCTACAACCCACTCTGTCCTGGGCCTTCCTTTCTAGTTCTACCCAGATTTTGTTCATTTTTCTCATGTCTATCTCCATTTCTCGGTGTACTGTGTTCTTTGGTCTTCCTCTTTTCCTTTGGCCTTGAGGATTTCATGTGAGGGATTGTCTTGTGACGCAGTTGGGTGCTTTCCTCAATGTGTGTCCTATCCACTTCCAGAGCTTCTTCCTGATTTCTTCCTCCAGTGGGATCTGGTTTGTTCTTACCCACAGTTGGTTATTGCTGATAGTGTCCGGCGAACGGATCCGTAGTATTTTGCGTATACTATATATATTCCTATTGTATAATTATTCAGTGACTAGATTGTGTTTACCTATATTCATCTTATTATAAGCTTCATTTTGACCTATAGTATTATATCCTAGCGAAGATTAAATTACGAGTAACTTGTGAGACCTATTAATGGACTAATATTATTTGTATATTCTTATGATATAATTGTTTAGCGATTAGATTATGTATATCTATATTCTCCCTTATTATAAGCTTCATCTTGATCTATAGATCATTATTGTACGACTCACTGTTCTTATGTTATACTCAGTTTTTAATCACTATCTCCCACGTTCACAGCCACCTTTGGCTATATTTTGTACAAGTATTATTTCCTATTTTATGGTGTGATGCGGTCTGTCTGGCTGATATATAAACCAAGTATGTTTGAAATAAAGGATCCACATAGTGTAATCTGTTATTGGTGTTCTAGACTCAACTGGACGAGCTAGGGCAGCAATCGAACAATAAGGACGCTCGGCTGCTCATACCGCTCGAACGTCATTGGTTTAGCACAGTATAAGAGTGAATATGTCGTTTTTCGATGGGCGAATAAATCACGTGATAAAAAAGCCGGGCTTAAAGTCACAACAGGATTATTTTAAAAATCAAAATAATGGCTGATTGTTTTTCTTATAAGTGAAAAAATATTGGATTCATGTTTAATTCATTATAGAATTCGGCTTGGTTTTATGAGAAAATATTGTACTCAGTACCTTAAACATACGATTACATCATCTTCGGGTATTTATTTTGTGGTTTTTTTTAATGAATGCCGTTTACGAACAAATATCAGTTAGAACAAACAATTGAAAACTAGGTGGCATTGAATTGCGGTTTTATTCTAATTTCCGTTTCTTCAGCGGAATCCACTTATGATCTCGGATGGCATCAAGCATATGACTTTGAGTTTTTGTTGTGAGCATGATATGTTTAGATCAGCTAGACAAGATACAATATTCAATAATTCTAACTTGAGTCAATTTGTAATGATGGTCAATTTAAGAGCATAGTATTTGAAATGGATATGTTTTTAATACTTATTATGTTGTTAATCATTTCATTTTGTCAAAAACGTTTCAGTTGTTAGTATGTTTTCGAATGGTTTCACCTACTTCATAACTTCTCCTTGATTTGTATCCATTATTCTGTAAGCTGAATAAACAGTTTCACAGAATATGATCCTTCTACTATGCAGAAAAGATTTAGATTATATGAATATTTGTCTTTTCCTAAATTCCTTAGCTTCGTAGTGGCTTTGCTTCATTTATCAATCACTTTGATAACCGTTATTATATAAATTTCAACGGCGTTTATAATCAAAAGGCAATGAGAAGCGTCAATTACAGTTCATTAGCGGATAGCGCAGATCACAAAGCTACAGGATCTTGTGGGAACAAATTGTGTATGAACTTATTGTTGGTCACCAGCCACTATGGGACTGCATCTATAACGTCGCCCTACTATCTTGTGGATTAAACCTCTTGGTCGAAGGCTTGGATCGGAGAGTAACCCACTAAGAAAACCACCTACTTCGATTTAGGCACCCGGGCAGTATCCTAGATCTCACACATATCGAATGATTTGTGTGGTGCACATATATATGATGCCTCCTCATACCAATGTTTATGTGCTGAAATAAATAAAAATGGTGTCTTCATCACAGCAAAATAGTTCAACTTTATTCTAAATAATAGTAACATCATATTCATTTCTAATCTAATAAATTATTGAATAGTCGTTTCAACACAGTTGCTGAAAAATTCTTAGGCAAATCTAATCAGTTTTTCAAATGATATTCAATGCCTAACGTAGTATTGGATAATAAAACTTTTCAATGAAAACTCTTTAATACTCAAGGATTCCGCTAAGTTATATATCATGCTCAGTGATTCCTCTCATCATTTGTTAATCCTTTGATTTCGACACTCAAATGTATCTTTTCAATTCTATTTTTCAGAACTTAATTCATACATTGACAGTTTATTTACTAACCACTTCAGTTAACATTTCCATTTGTTTTTTCTTGACTTTAGCAAAATAAAAACATTTGTTTCTTTATGGATAAAAACTTGAAATTTCATATGGTTGATTCAGACAGTATAGAATTATTCAATTCATTATCACCAACCAAAAGTAGATCAACTGAAAAGAATAAACTTAAAAATAGTACATTTGGAAAAGATCACAATTCAATAGATCAACTGATTACAAGTAGTAACGCTAGTAGTGGATACTGGGAAGATTGTGATTCACTTGTTACAAGTGAATATGATGTTTTTGGATTGAATTGGGTAAGTAGTATTCACCTTATGAAATTTATGAATATCAAGTAAACGTCTGTGTCATTATATAATATCAAAGATAATTTTTTATACTAAATAAAGTACTCTAATTTCTTTTGTATTAAACTAACGTTTGTTATTTTCCTAGTAAACATTTCAATTTATTGACTGAACGTTCTGAAATAATTTTGACAGATTATACATATCACTAGCATTGACGCCAAGATATTGTTTACAATTTGGTGCATTAGTGACAAAGTATTTCTCGATTTGTCGTTAATTATTTCGGCTAAAAGTTCTCCATAGGTACAAATGTAATTTGAATTGTTTGAAATCCAAATCTCTTCACTGACTTTTCAAAATCTGAGTCCATGAGCTTTCTAATAACTTCGTCTGTCGTTTATAATCTTAAGGTAATTTATGCACTATGATATAATATATACCTTAGTGATTCAGTACAATACATCTATTATTGTTAAATTCATATCATTCTTACATTGTTGACTAAAAACTAGTCGACCGAATCACCTATATGAATTGGATTTTCTAATGTATTTTTTGCTGACTTTCATTTGTTCTTTAATTTAGATAACTTGTCATCAAAACGCCAGAATAAAATGCAACAAATTGAAACATCGACCACTACCAGATGCGACTAATCATTCATCACTAGTTAGAACTCGAAGTTTCCATGTAAAACCAAACGATTACATCAATAAAAATTCATATGAACAGTATACAAGAGATCATTATTCAGATTCAATTCTCAATACTTACTGTGAAGATATACAACATACAACAAACTCTCAAAATAAAGCAGCTAATAATATACGTCAGTCGTCGTTAGTAGATAATAATCATCTATGTATACCAAATGATTCACTGGTAAATTATTTTATATATATTTACTCGATGAACTTCATTTGATTTCTTTTATGATAACACCATAAGACCTAGTTGTTATTTTTCTCTAAAGTAACATCATGACATAAAGCAAAATTAACAGTCATGTTCAGTTATTTTGAATGACATGAGTTCATTACATTTTCCTTCCACGTTGAATATTTCATATCAGCTTAGTACATCTTATAAAGTATATATTGGAATGATTCAGTTCTAAAAAAAATTATTAAAGGGAGAATATCTTTATGATAAAAAATTAGGAAAAAAATCACCTAACAATTACTGTTATATACTGTTACTTAGATTTAAGAATAGAAAAGTCATGATATAAACCTCTTGTCAAGGTTAAATCAAGACTGACGAATGGTAATCAGCTTTTATTGTTTAAACAATAAATTTTATATCAACATTATTTAACCATTTGTTACATTTTGCTTACAGTGTATCTTAATTCTGTCTACTGATTTACTTGTCTGTTGAATTGTTCAATTCATCATTTTACATTTTTGTATACCATTTTGAATATATATAGGGATTAAACATGATCTCTGTTAGATACCAATTTTTTTGTAATATTCACATGAAATATAACTTCAATCTAATTTTCTATACCAAATTAGTCCAATATAAATTTGTCAAGTACATAGGATAAAATCATTTTGGTGTCATTTTTTGAATTTTCCCCCAAACCCAGATGTCTTCCTTTGGAATTGTAAATTTAGCAACAAAAAAAATTGAATCAAGAAAAAATTATTTATTTATTTTCTTTAAATAATCATTAAAAGAAATCACAGGAAATAACGGTAAGACTATAAATTATGGTCGACCTTCAAGCAATGTTGAAATGATCTTGAAATGTTCACCTACTTATCAGGAGTAAATGAGGGTTATAGTTTAGTATGAAGGAGTTAAGATTAGAATTTACAGTTGAATGTTAGGGTTAGGAATTAGATTTAATGTTTTCATCACGAACTGACATCAGTTATAATGCCAAAATAGTATTAAACAAATGATTGAATGGATCTCGTGCCAAAATCCAAGATTTGCTATCTTAAATGTGACTGTTTCATCCATAAATTATAGTCCTACCAGAATAACTGATCTTCCTTTAAAAAAAACCATTATCAGTTTAATGTTAACTTGTTAATTTATTTATGAAATATTATATATGTATTGAAGAATGAATCTGATTCAGTAAGCAGTAAACCATTGTCTTCATGTTTACATAGTTTCATCTATAAATGTTTTATCTAGAAGAACACCATCAAAAAGAAAGTCACTTCACATCACTTTTTCCTTTTTGTTTTCATTTGTACTTTTGATATCAGAAATAAAATTTATCATGGAATTTATTCAAATGATCAAATACTTTATCAATTTGTCCCACTTTTTGTGAAACCAGAGGACATATTATTTAAATAACAGTGAATTATCAGAAATTCATTTGATATGTATTTAACTGATATAAAAACTTCTCTAAACTATCAATTTAATTGGTTGTTAAGGAAGGATTCATTCCTAACAAACCAATTTCTTGACGTTAAAAACATTATGAAATATGATCATAACTGTTATCGGGTATCCCATGTATGTGATAAACTTTCTTGTTACTTTAGATATCTAATCTCCCTCCAACAATATTGTCAATATTCTCATTAGATAATATATATGCGACTATAACCCAACTATTACACTGAATATATATGTGTGGAGATTTTCAGAAGCTTACGAGATGCATAATTAGCCTGATGATTTTGTCTCACTATACTTGATGTGGTTATCATGTTAGACTGTTTTATGCTACTTACAGCCGACTGAAATTGACGAACAGATTATCTTTTTCTTAGTGTTAAAATGGTATTATATGTTTCAAAATTAATTTCTCACACAAACTGATATCGAATGGAAAAGAATTGATTGACTTTATTTCGGAAAGCTTTGAGTGGTAAAGTTGACTATCTTAAATAAAACATTCTGAGGATGTTATGTTGCGGTGTATGCTACTTATGTTTACAGGTATAAGTAGTATGTAACACCAGTAGTTATTTTATGGGCTTTGTTAAAAATGAAGATGTATTGTTTATTAAAGCTTCTACTAATCAGTTTGTCATTAGCACATGTGCTATTTACAATGCGTTTTTGATTCAAGAAACTATGAGTACAAAAAAACCAAAACTAGAAAGGGAAATGAAGTAGATTAGATATTTTATTAATTTTTTTATGGGTGTACAGCCGTACAATTTTGTCTAATTAGTGTGACTATTTATCATGAGTATAATAACATTAGTATAATGACATACATATTGTAGATATTTCACACTCGAATAATAATCTGTTAAAATCCACGTTACTGTTGATTAATGAGGTGAAACTTTGATTTCAAACTTTATAGGGCATGCAACGTTCTGAATAACAAATAAATCCGGTTATTCATTGTCTCAGTTTAGAAGATATTTGAAAAGGTCTATTCAAACTACAAGGTTTTTGTGGAAATAATGTTGTATTAATGACAATTTGGATATACCTGAGTCTGATATTGACAATATTAATTGATTCACTAAAACAAATAAAATATTTACTGTATTTTAATTGCAATGGTTTCAATAATTTGTTGATATCTTTTAGTATTTTTTTTCGAAAAGTGTTTCTATTCATCCTAATGTAGATGGAACAGCTTATATTAAACATTCCTTAAAGATGAATCTCGGACACGAATGTTTCGCTAGTAGTACAACTTCCGTCTGATAATTAAATAAATACAAATGAATATGCGTATAATTATTCGTTAATTCCTGTTAAAATTGAATGGTTAGGCAACTCACAGTTAATTAAACTGTACTAGATGTTACCTAATTCACCGTTGATTAATCACTAAGTGATGATCAATATCATGTTTATCTAGCTTTTTCGTGCTTATTGAATTCTATCGATCAAGTTGTTATACGTTTAATTTTCAAACATGATATGTAATATAATTCAAATAAATTAAATACCCCCCAGTTATCAATATATTATACGTTATGCTATTTCCAGCATGTATTAAGAGAAAATGTGTTATTCGAGTCTACAAACGAAATTACACATGATGTAATAATACAATACCTTTTAACCGATGGTCATAAGATAAGAATAAAACGTCAAGTTTCTTACAAACAGCTATTTTTCCAACAACTATGTGTTAAATGAAACTGTTTTTAACTGTCCAATTAGTAGAGTATAGTGTCGCTGTATATACATTTTGTGAACAACACTTGTTCAAGGAATGTTTTTATTTATTAGCTATTTGTTTTTTGTATATAAACATTATGTACGAATTTATATACACACTATTTCGCTTTATGTCTATTATGTATGAAAGTGTAGTTATCAGGTATATGTTTGTGTTTTTTGCCTACAGATTTTTCAAGTTAGACAATTAGTCTAAATAAATTGAATGTCTGTGAGAAAAGTCTGTATTGTTTTCGTTACTATTACCTAGATGGAACTAGTTTACATTGATCTGAATTCTAGTGTTAGAAGTGTAATTACTCGGCATCATGTTAACTTTGATAAATATATGTATGTTTATAATAGCAAAATGTAGAGATATATAAATCATATGAATTAGTTTAGAATTTATTACAGTCCTATAATTAAAATTCAATTACAATAGAGTAGTACTATGTTGAAATTAAAGTTAAAAATGGTAATCACAGGCCGAATAAGTGGGTCATTTAATATTATGTAATCTCAGTTTTTGAAACAAATTGGGTGACACACCTATGGGATTTGAATAATAAATACATATTACCACCGACATATTAGAACTCTTCATTTTATTATCATACTAAATTTATATTAACGCAAACTTTATGTTTTGATGTTATTCTGTCACTATAATATTTTATTGTGTCTTTGGTCGACTGGGCATACTGAGTTCCATTGTAATCATTTCTCCCATGGTTATCACAAAAAACAACCAAATAATATAAACTAATGAAGACAAATATCACTTTTGTTGCTTTGAGCTGTTATGTTATCGTTAAATTTTAACAGTAGTATATTGTTGTTGTCATAAATGCTTAGTCCTACAATATATACTTAGAAAGGAAGAAGGTTTTGGTCAATCATTTCTCCTATTCGGACCATCTACTGTACATAGACCACTTGTAATAGGAATTTCTTCATAAATAAATTGTTTAAAATAGTTGGTTTTACTACAGCTGAAAATTGGTGAGTTGTAGGCCGATATTTCGTTCACAGGTGAAAATCCTAAAATTCTAATGCTCGTAATCTATGCATAAATATTAAATTATTGGTAGAAATTTTAGTTTGGGCGTAAAATTAATGATGCAAATTAGACGACTCATCTTTATATAATTTTCGAAAGACTACACAAATATTACAAGATCCCTATGTCACATGGTTTGACTGAGTAATATTTTAAGGTGACTAATGTTCTTATAAACGAAGTTACCATAAACTGAGTACTCAATACTGAGGTAAATTTGACTAGTGCGCCAAACAATATACCTGTGAAGCTAAGTTGAATTCCGAAATCTTACACCACTTTTAATACTAATATTTCAACTTTTTCGTCGATCAGAGTTTGAGTATCTGAGATCCATAATTGACATACATTTATGAGAAGTTACTACTGAGTATGGTTACGCTGAAATGTTCCGGCCACTTGATTTCAGTTTATAACATCATTCATACTTAAACCTTTATTTTTTTGGGATAGTTTGTTCATTCCAAATAAAGTTCTACTTTTGTTATTATTGCTTTGACGAAATTAATCATAGTTTGGAATCCGATGCGTCGAGAATTTCATATTTTTATTGCTAAACCCCATAATAGGTCAGTGTTGTCTTAAAAAAGTGTTCTTTGTCACTAAAAAAAGCATTTTCTACCTCTACGAAATAAAATCTTCATGCTTATTACATTTTCAACATGCAAGTGACTTGCATATGGTGGCATTTTTTCGCTTCTTTCAAATGTCCATCATTTACTACTCCACTTGAAAACATCACATTAGAATATCAGATTAATTTTCCTGATATTCAGAATTTAATGATAAACTATGGATGATAAAATTAGTTTTCTATCCAACAGGACTTACTAACAAGCCTGTCAGACGAAAGATTATGGATGTTTCAATTTTCCTGTATTCGCTAATTTTCCTTTAATTTCTAACTGTTATATACTGTGGCAGTATAGTTACACAATACTTACTTACTTACGCCTGTTACTCTCAATGGAGCATAGGCCGCCGACCAACATTCTACAACCCACTCTGTCCTGGGCCTTCCTTTCTAGTTCTACCCAGATTTTGTTCATTTTTCTCATTTCTGTCTCCATTTTTCGGTGTAATGTGTTCTTTGATCTTCCTCTTCTCCTTTGGCCTTGAGGATTTCATGTGAGGGCTTGTCTTGTGATGCAGTTGGGTGCTTTCCTCAATGTGTGTCCTATCCACCTCCAGCTCTTCTTCTTGATTTCTTCCTCCGCTGGGATCTGGTCTGTTCTTACCCAAAGTTGGTTGTTGCTGATAGTGTCTGGCCAACGGATCTGAAGTATTTTGAGTAGACAACTGTTAATAAACACTTGTATCTTCTGGATGACTGCTTTCGTATTTCTCCGAATTTCCGCCCCATACAGTAGAACTGTGTTGACATTTGTATTGAAAATTCTGACCTTGGTGTTGGTTGACAGTTGTTTTGAGTTCCATATGTTCTTCAGTTGTAAATATACTGCTCTCGCTTTGCCGATGCGCGCCTTTATATCTTCATCAGATCCACGAATACACATAACGGCTATGTATTTTTATATCATGTTATATTTTACATTAGATGATGAAGACTATTCATTTACTAAAATGATATGTTTCTTTCACAAATAATTCTAATTTAAACATCTAGCAACCACCTGGACTGTATTATTGGTTAAAATGTCATTTGTTTGAAAATAAATTCTCATATATTCCTAAGTATATGAATGGTTTTTCGAGCTAATTAATACAACTAATGGAGAACTGATGAGAGTATAATAACAACTTCAATTTGATTCCTTTTTTCTTTAATATTCAATTTTTGCAGAGTGGATTGATTCGATTGAATCAGATTTTTTATTTTGTCAAAACAGTTGTTCATCTGTAAATAATGTTCAGTCATGTCAACGTATTTCTTCTGAAGTACAGAATGTTGAAGAGAAAACGTTTAAATACTTAAGCGAATGGGATGATAGTGGAGATGAAGATATTATAAAAAGAGCAGAACCAAAAACTAAATTTGAGGCTGCGTTAAGAAGAGCTGAAGAGAAAAATAAAAAACGAATGGTATGTCTTTAGTTATATAAAGAGTTAACGATACAAATTTGTAATTTGCTGTGAGTAACTCAGCTGATTTTTATTCAGATATTCAGCGAAAGAGAATCCATTATGAATTCCGTGTTTTTTACTGTTGGTTATACACTAAATTATATTTTCATTTATTAAATAACGAACTGGCTTAAGTTAAACCACCATTGAAAACCTGGCAGAACTAAATAAGCGTTTCGCCCTGGTGTGGAGCTCCTTAGCAGTATGCGCGCACAATTCTTGATCAAGGAGTTGGATTTAAAACTTTTGATTTCGCGATTTAGCTTCTAGACCACTGAGCTGGCATTTAATGGTGTACTTGGACATTAATTACTTCTGGAAAGCAACCACACTGGTTATTTTAGATTGACAGCTAGATTAATAGTTCCTTATACTCTTGTAATATTCTAATCACCTTATAGTCATATCTAAAATATATGTAAATAAACTATATCAACTGAACTCTATTTTCAGAAGGGGTTTTGTGGAGATTGTAGTAATTTCAATAGTTGACATCATCAGTCAATTGAAGCTAGACCACCATGGAAAACCTGGAAGCACTGGACGGCCGTTTCGTCTTAGTATGGGACACCTCAGCAGTGTGCATCCACGATCCCGCCCCCCGTGGGGTTCGAACGCATGATGGCATTTCCTGGAGTTTTAGTGAGAAGCCGTAACCAGTAGAGTTCAACCAGGTCTGTTGTGAAATATCAGCTCAGTGATCTTATGGTTAAGCGTTCGCGCGCGAGACTAATAGGTCCTGGATTTGAATCTCGGGGGGGGGCGTGAAAGCACACTGCTGAGGAGTCACACAATAGGACGAAAAGGCCGTCCAGTGCTTCCATGTTTTCCATTGTGATCTAGATTCGATTGACTCATGATTTCAACTATTGAACTCCATTTACCAATAATGCAATGATGCTTCACTACGATTTGGTGAAAGATAGTTTGCTGTGACAAAGAGTTTGACTACTGTTAAGTAGTATAAGCATTTCCAATTAGTATCTCTCAGGTTAAAATTAGTACTATTCCCAGATTCATAGAATTTCCACTTACGAGGACTTTATATGTTTGAATTATCTAAATCAATTTTTAATGTTGAATTCTCAAAATATTTAAGTTGTGTGCAAGTAACAAATAATTTGTCACTGAACAGCTAAATGAATTATAATCCATACGTGACAGATTTTATTATGCGAGCGTCCAAAGAAAAGAGGTATTTTATTGGTCATATTTTATACATGTATTTTTTATTAGTTGAGTTCAAAACTTTTTGTTTAATTTATAATCAAGCTAAAGAATCAGCTTGATAACTTACTGTAGGCTGTCTTTCTACCAACCGAAGGACGAATATATTGCCCATTAGTAATCATATTTGTACTGTTCCATCAATGTGAGACATGATCATTGAGAGTAGAAGATATTCATGGACTGAAGTTTTTTGACTGAGGTGATCAGAACAAGTATCATGGATGACTAGACACTGCCTACCTCAAGACATGGAGTTTTCCGGTGCAGAAGTGGTCTGGAAGAAAATTAGAGACTGCCAAACCAAGACATGGCATCACTCCAAGAAATCATTGACTATTGTTTCATGTAATTGTCACTAGATGAAGCATACTTGGTCAGGAACCTCATGATAACTGTGATCAATGGTTGATGACTTTAGCTGCAATGACTCAGAATCATTTAATTTTAAGTTCTTTAAATCAGGATTGAATGAATAAGTATTTGCTAAAACTAAAAAATCATGAAATATATTCAATAGCATGTATCGCTGGAATTAAATACTTGTATTTCCTTCTGTTTAAGATTCACCAATAAGATTTATTCTAATGCTCCAAATTCAATCTGTTTTAAAATAATCCAGACTTAATTACAAGCAGGCATCACAACTCAATCCTCTGATGAATAGAGATCTATTTCTCAAGCGATTGATGGTGAATTTGAATCTTAGAACAACTGTCACTACTTACTATGATGAATAGATATGTTTCAAATAAGAAGTTTCTAAATGATTCTGTTAGCTTCCGGTTTATTTGGAGTTATCGACCATTATATGCTGACTAAAGCATTAAGTTCTGTAGTCAAAATTGTCAAAATAATGTTTGAAGAATTTAATAAATTTACTTTAAAATAACATTTATTTATTTACAGGAACTGATAACTTCTAAAGACTTTTCAACATCAGATAAAAAGATGCCTGAATGGGGTTCACCCATCCAAATAAGGAAGAATGCTGACCAAAGTAGATTTATGGAATGTTCTCTTTCATTAGATATTGTAAGTTTTGTGAAATACTTTTTGCATGACAAATATTTGAAGTCTCATTGATAAACGAGTAGTTCCCTGTATCATTTTGAAAAGAGCAGAAATAAAGATTCTAGCAGAATAATATGAATTCATTTTCTTTCGTTGGTTCTCGCCAGCTGTTTTCAATCTGTGATATTTAAAAATCATAATTACATAATAGGTTTAAATCACTTACTTGAAAGGGTTTGGTTAGAAGTTATATTGAAGACACATTAGTTATAGTATAGCAAGGGTGTAAATAAATTTAATAGACTGAATATTGTAAATATATAACTTATGTAAAAGTACATTCTACAACATTGATTATGACAACAGTTCAAATTCCCAGAAACAAGTGATTACATAATGAGTAAACGCTGATAGGAATAAAATGAGAAGAGCTCGGCTGATAAAATAAGAATACTAATTCCGAAGATAGTTGAAACAAAACTCAATGATGTTAATAAATGCAAGAAAGAGATTTTTTAAAAAGTTTAAGATGCAACGAAGAAACATTTGTCATCAAGGCAAGGAAAGATTAATAACCATCTGCTTTTGACTCCTGATAGCAACGGATTCAGCAAACGTAAGAAGACTGGAGTTTGTCTGCTTACTAATCACCTTGAAAGATTGAAAGGTGTAGATCTGATACCCTGTATCAAGATGTTTGGTGATTTCACTGCTTAGAATCTTTCTATTGTTATAAGGCTTTTTGGAACATGTTTAAAAAATTTTAGATATGCCCTGCTTTCTGTTCTGCCAATGTAGCTGCTTTGGCACGTACGCGTAAATTTATAAATACAGTTGGCAGTAACATGAAACGGGTACTTGTCAACCTTTGATTGAGTTATTGAAAGATTACAAGGTATCACACGTTATAAGCAGTTGACGAGAACTAACGAAATAAAATGAATTCATACTATTCTGCTAGAATCTTTGTTCTTGCTCTTTTCAAGATAAACGAATAAATGAATTTTTATTGTTGTATGTTGCAACATATAAGCACAATAATCAGTTATGAAGTAATTATAATGATTGTTACTTTTTTTGGAATAAAAAAATAGTATGTCCAATTTGTTAATCTAACCATAAAGTGGTATTTGGTTCTGTCTATTCATATAGCTGAGTAAGAATATAAAGTATTGAGTTGACTCGGATTGATGATGAATTATGTGAATGAAATATAGATCCTTATCTAACCTCGTAAATATTATGTAAAAATTTGAATAAGGGTTGTGTTTTAGATATCTTTCTTTCAAATATACATATAAACAGAAAACAGAATATAGGTGAATTGCATTGAGGATTGGACGTACACTAACTCGACAACTAATCTAGTGACTCACCTTATATAGTTTAAATAAAAAGAAATGTAAGCCAGTAAATAGACAACAAATAGAGTAAATAATAAACATATATACATAAAGAGATTTATGCTTAAGTCTGTCGAGGTATAACATATACAAGTGGATAGTCATATCCCATGAAAGTAAATACATATAATCGATGAAGACAAACATAAAAGGCATAAATGTATAGAAGATCAGTGCTGCTTAAAATGGATAGAATATCATTAGCAAGGTAAAAATAACGCATTAGTTCCACACTGTATGGTTTATTAGTATTATTCTAAAGTTCATATAAGACATTCTAGTCACTACGACTATTACTAATAATAATAATAATAATAGTAATAATAATAACAATAATAATTGATATAATATAACAATAAGTATAATCGGATATTATTTTTCTGGTCTCGTCTAATAAGAAAACATATCGTAAATTATTGTAATTATGATGCAGAACTGAATGAAGAGCTGATTCAGCAGAATTCATGATTGTATTTCAGACTGTAAAACTTTCTAAACATATTTTATCATCCATAATATTTTAGCTCGTTAAATTTTTTTAAACAGCACAGTTTATTGGTATGAAAAAAATACTGAAAAACAATATCAGATGGGTTTTGTGGATATTATAGTAATTTCAATGGTTAACACCGTTGGATGCCGGCTCAGTGGTCTAGTGGTTAAGTGCTTGCGCGTGAAACTCGCAGGGGGCGAAGTCGTGGATGCACACCGCTGAGGAGTCCCACAATAGGACGAAATGGCCGTCCAGTGCTTCCAGGTTTTCCATGTAGGTCTATCTTCAACTAACTCATGATCTTCACCATTGAAAAATAATACTTAAATGACCTGAATAATTGAGATCATGAGTTAATTGAAGTTAGACCACCATGGAAAACCTGGAAGCACTGAACGACTGTTTCGTCCTAGTATGGGACTCCTCAGTAGTGCGCGTCCACGATCCCGCCTCGTGAGATTCGAACCCAGAACCTATCAGTCACGCATGCAAGCGCTTAACCACTAAATAATTACTGATGAAAATCTACTCATAAAATTAATCTCTGAATTAAAAATCAATAAATTTTGCATGAAAATAATTACTAGATAATGAAAACAATTATTTATATACAAAATTATTTTACTCGGATGATATAACATACATGTGACTTACTTGTTGATAACAAATGAATAATCAATAATCAAATCGAAAATATTGAAATCATAATTAATGATTCACTAAATTTTCTATTCTTATCATTTATGCATTTCTATGATTGTTTACATATTATAAACAATTATTTATGGAATTGTAATGAACGAGAACTCAGGCAAGGATAATCAAGTGTATTTAAACATAAAATTACAGAAAGTCTTAATAAAATCTGATTACAATACAGTAAATACTTGATTTTCAAAATGTTAATTAGTGGTTTCAGACTTGATTGTTCCTTTTTTTCCACACAAATCATTCACTGTTATCGTTCTCTTATCTTTGGTTTTCTTAACCTTGTGCTACCAGGTATTTCAGTTTGAATTGATGATAAATACTACTTATATTTGTCGAAATTAGTAGCACGTATCACAGAATATCTAAAATAGCTTGTTAATTAAGAGTCGAAATATAATCTTTGCTTTTTGTATATTGAACTATTGGTAGAATATATTTAACCGATATCATCATTGGTTAACTTTTGACTGGGAACAGGTTATCAGTATAGGGTTCTCGAATCTGTTGACTTTAGATTGATATCATGAATGGAACAAGGTTGGACAACGACCCTTTACTGAAAATTATCGTGTGCTCACTAGTGACTGGGTTCAAGAAGGATTTCCTGGAGTAATAAAGAGAAGCCATGACCAGTGGAGTTCGACCGTGTCTGTTGTGAGGCAGTTACTCACTGAAAGCGGTGGTGGATGGTTGAAATTAGACATTAACACCGTTAGACGCTGGCTCAGTGGTGTAGAACTTAGGCGTTCGCGTATGAGACGGAAAGTCGTGGTTCCGAGTCATGAGTGAGGTATCGTGGATGTACACTGCCATGTATGAGTTCCATATTAGGACGAAACGGTCGTCCAGGGCTCCCAGGTTTTCAGTAGTAGAGACAGCTTATCAATAAAGAAGAACGTCAGTGAGGACAATTTCACTTCATTAAACAAATATAATTCATATTATCTTTAATTCTAACAACAATAACATTTGTAATGGATCGTATTTCCCTGTTCTTCACGTTAAGGATCGGTCATTGTTCTTTTGTGCATCGTCAGAGGAGAATCTCGATATTTCTAGTTACAACATTAAATAAGGTTGAATAATGGCTAGTAGGAAAATCCTGGAGGTGCGCTCCTTTCTATTTTTGAACATTAACATTGACATGCAGGTTTATTCAGCTGAAGTTATGGATGTCCTAAACAATTGTGGTCAATAAGATAAACTACTGAATATTAAACTAGTAGTTAGAATTAAATTCATGTTATTTGGGACCATTCAAAAATTGAACCTAATATCTGGCTGAAAGCATAGCGATTGTTTCTTAATGATTTTAATTCTAAATATTCCCACACTTTTGGCTTAGTTCCCATTTAGAGTCAACTAATAATTTTATTGTGTTTAGCAGAACACTACATGATTGGTGATAGCAATAACTAATCTTTTAAACTAATTAACACAGGAAACGTTTAACTTCAGTATTTTTTGTGATTTGTGGCGTGTATACACTTGGCTCGAGCAAATGGTGCGAATTCGCTGTCGATAAGCAATCATTTACTCTCAGGACTAGTTAATGGACTTTTCTTAAAAACTTTTGTTATATAAGCTAATACAAACATTTAATAAGCTTGATGTTTGACTAACATAAGTTTAATTGTGTTATTTGAAATAATTGATATTATCAGTTAGAAGCTCTTTTGAAAACATTTTATGGTGTTATAATAGTTTTGCTGGGATTTCAAAGAGAGTTTTGACCAAATCATTAAATCGAATGATAGGAAAACTATGAATGAGTTAAAACAATACTAAGCATAGTTGTGTAGAATATTTTCTTATTTTATCATGTCTTTTGCATCTGTCTCTTCATGGCTTAGATAACAGAACATAATTGCAAAATAAAATGAATCACTATTTCGCCATGTCTGTTAAGTAATTTGTTGAATCTTGACTCGAAATTTTAAAGTGAAATTCGATTGGTGAACCCATAAACTGTAAAATCAGGAAGGTAGGAAATGTTCAACAAATACATATGAGGTTAAATACTGCTGCTTAGAATAAGGGTTGGCTGAATAGACTCTAGGAGTGAGGAAATGAAGATATCGACTGGATAAATGATCCAAAATGGTGTATACAGACTTTTAAACTAAGGCGTACATGAATAGTGTTGGTTAAAGGTGTTGGATAACATACCCCAAATTATATCGTAGTGGTATAGTTACATTCATTCCTTATCTTTATTTAGTGTTTTTTCACGCTTCGATCCCATTCGTTTCTCTGAGACTATATCTACAGGGTTTAGCTATCCACTGTGATGAATATTATTTATTATTCTCTTCATCTAACTTTATCAATATTTCTACTTAATAAACTGATCTAATGGGTAGCGAGCAGGATTAATAAACATTTATATAAAGTTCAGCATAGTCAGCAACTAGCTGAAATGTATCATTACAATTTTGATCTTTCCAGTCGTGCAGGTAGAGTGAATTCTGTTGTGCATATCACAGCAAAAAACATGATTTTCACCAGTACTATGAATTTATAATTAGTGACAATGAGATGCTAAACTGATTTAATATCATCTCCTTCGACCAGACTGTTTTCTAGGTTCAATGTTTTCATAATTGAGGAGCGAAATGAAATGAGTCATTTAATTGCTGGTCACTTCTTCAGTTCATTCGCTTGTTTTTGTTCTGTTCGTATACTATCATAATGTGGTTTTCGTTACAAGCCTATATTTAGAGTATCGTTTCCTGTAGATAATTTTACAGAGAATATTTACTTTAATCTCTGTCTTATTGTTATTGTATGATACTCATTTTCGATAACTGATTTCATAAACTAGACATTTTCTCTAAATCTTCCAGTAAACATGTATGTTGTTCATTATATGACCTGAGCTCCATTATGGATGCATAATTTTTCTCGTGGTCTAATTGTTTACAGTCACATTTATGTAACAGATCGGTAATATCTTCGTTTTTGCTCACTTTCAGCCGGTGAGCAACAGCAGTTCCCCGAAAATAAGTAGACCTTCTGATCTTTGTCGCGAAGTTGAAGAATGGTTGGAATCAAGACCGTCATGGATTGACCAAAAACATCAGGTGAGCTTCTAGTCTTATGCTTACATAAGGGCTTAAATGATTGTGCTTAAGATTAAAATGATACCTAACAATTTGCCCCAAAAAAAAAGTTTTAAAAGAGTGACATTATTTACTTTTTAGTCCCACGCTTAGAACACAAACTGGTAGAGAACCAATCAAGTATCCACTTCAAGTCTCAGTAGTTCTCTTTTCCTTTTGTAATTTACTCTGACGAAACTCAAGTTTCAATATTTTTTGGCACTCATCTTTAGCTAGTACAAAGTTAATATAGTCCATCCCCTATATTTGTTTTTTGATTAGGATGTTTTCATATATTTGGTTTATTTTCTGATACAAGTTTATGTTAATGATAGTGTTCATCGATTAAGTTTGAAATATTCTCTAAAAATACATGTTAGCAAAGTTTTAAGCCACCTTGGTGGTTACTGCTCTTGATCACTAAGTCATAATCATATTAAAAGTGATTTATGTTTCACACGTCAGTTTTAATTTGTTTTTATATTTCACTGGTGTTCTGAATATTTATTGTCTTATTAAAATTTTCCTTATTAAACACATCTTACTCCTGAGTTATATTTCGATTTTTGTCCCTCGTATTTAGCACCTTTCGTGTTTTATTCTGTAGCCTTTTTCCTGTACTGATGTTGGTTTTTGTGACTCAGACTACTAAATCATGACTTCTTTTAGAATTTTCGCATTTATGATACAAGAATACTAAATTAATCTTAGTGTCGAAAACCCTAATTGATAGGCTGATAAGTCAGTTTTCGTAAAAGTACACTGTGTAAAGGATAAATTAAGAAAAACCTATTCACTGAGCAAATAACAAGCCCAAAATCTTCCTTCAATTACATATATGATACATAAAATAGTTTTGGTGTCTTTAATCTACATAAGACTATAGTGAGACTAATTTATGGAGACCTCTGATGGAAACGAGTGACCTTGAGAAAATTCACCACCTTACTAAGGTCAAAAGAGAGTTATTGAGTTAGAAGTTAGGGTTACGAATAAGAGTTGGAGTTAGGGTTAGGATTTTTATCACGAACTGACATCAGCTACAACACAAAAATTCCATTTAATCTTATAGATGAATGAATTTCTCTCAATAATCCTATACTTACTATCTTCAATTTCATTTATTTGTTCATGAATTATAGTCTCGCCGTTATACATATTTATTTATTTTATTTTTCCTACAAAATCAACTCCGGGATGCAGGTATTATCCATCTAGGGATGAAATGGGCGTCCTGAATTCCATTGCCAACTACATTCCATCTATTCTTATTTTGCTGACTACAATACTGAGAAAGACTAGTCAGTTTGCCAACAATTAAGTATTTCTTGTTGGCAGGATGAGATAACTCTTAGTAAACTTCACAAATCACTCAATCTTTGGAATATCCACCTACACAAGATTTGCTATTATCAGTCTATGGTAAAACCTGTCCTCCGATTTAAAAAACAAACAAAACAAAATCTACACAAATCTTCAAGCTAAGCTAAAAATGTGTTTACATTATTAATATAATTATAGGTCAGACTGAAACAGTCTATTCGTAATCACTTATATTATTGTGTGAAATGTTGTCTACTGATGAAATCATAAATATGCGAGATAATTAGCTATGAATCAAGTACCCTGCAGAAATTAGAATATTAATGACTTAGGTTAATTTATCTTAGTGTCATGATGACAAACGTTTGCTAATGATCAATAACTTAGTTATAGAACGACATAATCTTTTCCAATTAAGTCTTATTATTAGTATGGTATGTGAAAAATTAAATCAAAGACTAATCTAAGTTAAGCAGTCATTGAAAAACTGGAAGAACTTTATGGCCGTTTCGTTCTAGTGTAGGACTCTTCACTAGTGAGAATTCATGACTCTCAAAAACGAGGATCTAACCCTCTACAGATCTCACATGCGCGAACATCTAACCTCTGGACCATTGAAAGGGGGTGCAACCATTCTTTCATATTTCGTGACTATTTTCCACTGTGTTCAGTAGCTGCCTTCCATATATTTGACACACTTTAGCTTCATTGGTTGCAACATCACTAAATATCTGGGTGTTTCCACTCGAAGCTAGTTATTAGTGAGCATTTGATGAATATCAGTTTGTAGTGTCCGTTACTATGTCAAGCCCACATAACTTATTCTACCTTCAGGACAGGTAAATTTATCTATTCTTCTTGAGTCACGTTTTGATCATGTTAATTATTCACTTATCAACCCTGACTTTTTATATGAGCGTATGTGTGTGTACACTTCTGATCCTATTCATCATATGTCTGTAACTTATTTTATCTGGCTACAAATATTAACGCTTGATTAAATGGAATTGGCTCATGCGCTTTTTCCATTGCTCGTCCTTTCGTTTCGCTTCGCCTTCTCTTCGCTTCATTCGCTGTGATTCTCTGATTATCTGTTCGGGTCAACGACTATACAAAATATACATATTCAAACATCCATTCTCATATTTGACTTATTTAAATTCTATTATTCATCAACGCACGTTAATTCTATAAAAATAAACGAGGATAGCCAGTATGTATATTTTGACAACAATCATTCATACGATTTAGTTGGAGTCAGATAATAGGGCCACTAAAAGTACACGTTTGTGGATTGATTAAAATTAAGCTGATACACCATTTAAACCCGATTCATTAGTCTACATGTTAAGGATTCATTTGTGAGACCAAAAGTCTCAAGTTCAACTCCTCCAAGAAGGGTCATGGATGTTTATTATCAAAGAATCTCATCCTAAGTCAACATGACCGTTCATTCCTTCTAGGTTTTCAATCATAATCTAACTTAAATCGATTCATGATTTCGAATAAATTTAATGATTATTTATAAGTATAACCATTCATTAAATTACCAGAATAAAGTGTGAATTTAAAAGAGTAATAGTTAACTACACGAAAAAAATCAATTTTTTTTTCTGTATGAATAATTAACCACTCAACACAATAAATCGATGCATTTTCTTTCGTTGTTGTTGTTTTCTCTTCTTTCCTTTTTTTCTTCTTTCATGTATTATTCTATGATCATTTAATAATGAATTAAAATTATGTTTGTATATCAATATTTGCTAATAATGGTGGTATATAACAAATTTTTAATAGTATACTTCAGAATGATTGATAGATCTTTTTATTATTATATCAGATTACTTTGTTTGTTTTAATAATATAAATATTTAGGCTTGTGAATTGTTCATTCATTCATTCATTATATTATCAAAGCAAATGAATGTATTTCATTGAAAGTAATTAGTAATTCATTAAAGTAAATATTGGCTCATCTGAAAGAAAAAGAAATGGAATTATTTGATACCTGACAATTATTGGTAATAGGATCATTAGATTAAAAAAAGTGGCCAGACTGTCATTTATATACGACCTTTGAACGAATCTTAAGTGACCTTGATAAATATTAGCCAATCAGCAAACAGTCAGTATAAAGTTAAAAGATGTTATACAAAACCAAGGAAATAAAGTGGATACACTTCTTATACATGGTTCAAAAACTTGTCAAGGTTAGAAAGAGGTTCTGAGGTTTTAAAATCGTAATGCATGCAGTAGAAGAAATCATCCATACGGTTACAGAATAGTCAGCCTCTGGAGCCATGATAAAGTCTCAAAAACTCTTTCAGCCTCGACCACATAGCTTCAATATGTGTATGTGCACACCGGTTGACAAAAACATTTTTATTCACTTTAATCATCTTATTATATTCACTAAATCTATTGTTATTATTCTTATTACGTAATCTAGTATTATAACCTTTTTTATTAACTGTGTTCACATTTCCTCATGGAATTAATACTTTTACAAAAACAAAATTTTAATATATATGCGATTGTACAGCTTGATAATAAATTCGTTGAAAAGAGATCCCTTCGCTGAACTTCGTGTTTTAATTTTAATGTTTAAATGGGAATTATCCGTCAATAGTCAGGTTATTCATTTATTTATTTGTGTACACTTTTAGACTAATCTGAAATCAGCAACCAAACCAGAATTGGGAATAAATTGAGTAGTGTTCCAGTTGACTTGTCTTCTCTTACTTGCGCGCTTGTCAGCCAATCAGGTGATAGAATAGTTTTCGTCTCTCTACTCCACTTCGAACTCACGCATACTAGCCTCAAGATTAAGCTGGTCAGCCTATCGCGTCAAGGTCTTAATCTAGATTAGCCAAGTATCCTCTGTACAAAAGTGGGTAGACAGATCAAGGACGTAATAAATATATTCCATAAAATTCGAGGCCCGATTGGCATCATATAAGTTGAGAGTGATGAAATAGTAAATTACCATTGAAACATAGTAAGGTTTATGCTTTATTATAAACTCATAAAAGATTTATATGTAAATTGTTAAATTGTCACATTGGGTAAATGATATTATGATGACCTGGAGATTTTATTACAATGGTATCAATCTTTTATGGTACTTTATGTAGATATTTTTAAGCAATTGTAAACAGGCAGATCGTTGAATTGTGAACTTTTCTTTTTCATCCTATCACGTCATCAACGTTTATTTTATTTAAAATTTTTTTATGAGTGAAATTTTTGGTTATTCCACAAGTGTTAAGTCAGTTCGTTCTATTGGTCTTGTCTTTGATTGGTTGTTTTCTCAGGCTTCATTGTTTTTATTTATCCTTGTATTCAAGCTTACCATCTTGTTCGTTTGACCATTGATCATGTGGTTGATTAACTTTCTCCATATTGGTTAATAGATTCGGTTAATTGTTCTATATGGAATATTTATAGAAATGCTTCAGCATTCTTAAAATGCTCTTAACTAAGAATTTTGACATTTTCATTGTTCATACGCATGAAAAATTTCAATTAAAGATTTAACAACTCTTCAATACTGATTCTCTTCTGATTCTAAATCTAGCATACTAAGAATTCATTTTAGAGTGTTTCTATTGATTTTAAATAGTCAGTGCTTAGAATGTCAGGTGAATACGAACTATTTTGTCGACATCAGTAGACAGCTTATGTTATCTCATATCTGTCTCCACTTCTCGACGTAATGTGTTCTTCAATCTTCCTCTTCCCCTTTGGTCTTGAAGATTTCATGTGAAGGCTTGCCTTATGGCGCAGTTGCGTGCTTTCCTCAATATGTTTCCTATACGCTTTCAGAGCTTCTCCCTGATTTCTTCCTCCGCTGGGATCTGGTTTGTTCCTTCCACAATAGGTTGTTGCTGATGATGTCTGGCCAACAGATCCGAAGTATTTCGCTTAGGCAACTCTTAATAAACACTTATATCCTTTGAATGACTGCTTTCGTAGTTCTCTAGGTTTCCGCCCCATACAGTAGAAATGTTTTAACATTTGTATTGATAATTCTGGCTTTAATGTTAGTTGACAGTTATTTTTAGTTCCAGATGTTTTTCAACGCCAACCAGAAAATAAATCACTGGAAATTCTTGAAGAAAATTATTTCCTTGTCATATTGTTTTTTTATTCTAACAATTAAAGTCGTTTTGTTAGTAAACACTAAATATTCATAAATCTATGAAATATATCTGCATTTTCTGTGTTGTTTACTTACATTCATAAAAATGTCAACACTGATAACAATCCATTTTATGTATAATATTATTGTAATCTAAGACTATTTAAAGTTTTATTTACAAATTATAATTAATTATTTTACATTGTAAATTAATTTATTACTAATTTTCGAATAACCTTGAAATGCATAATTATCCAATCATATGCAAGTTGTGTTTCTATTGGTTGATTGATTGATTATTTCATTATTATTGTACACAATTCTATTTATTTATTTATTTACTTATTTATTATAATTACAGATCTAGTTAGATCTGATTTTATTATTTTAACTTGTAAACTGTCAGTCAGGATGTAAATCTAATTATTGAATGTTATACAAAAGTAATTATAATCCTCTAAATAATAAAATGACACGAATTTAAATCAAATGGATCGGTATTTCATTTACAAATTAATGTAAGTTATAAACATTAGATGTTTCTCCTTCTTTTTTTCTTCTTTTTGATTATTCAACTCACTAAAATATGAGTAATTTATAAACATACAATTCATCCATTGTTTTGTCGTTGTTTTTTTCTTTTAATTCTTAGAAAAATAATCCAGCGTTACAAATTTGCTTTTTAAATACATCTGAACAAAATTTGTTCTCTTCCATGGAAGCAATAATTGCTGAACCTTATTTGGACAATAATGATTATAGAACTGGACAAAGTAATATAGAAACTAATTTATTTTCAACTGTTAACTCTATTAAAACAAATGATAGTATTCAAACAATTAACTCATTGAATGACAATGAAATTAGTTTGAATAGTATTGAAGATTATGATGATAATAATTCACAGCGACTAACATTGAATGGTAATTCATCTTTTGTAAATCATAAAAATGAAAAGAATCGTACAAGTTCATCAATATCTGGAAGATCATCTTTATTATTAGCTTTTGAATCTTCGGTTAATTTAATTGATTTATTGAATGAGGTCTGTCAAATCATGTGTATTTAACTTATTTTTCTTATGACATTTTTATAATATGAATAATGATAATTTTAGGATTGTTTTAATATGATCTATCACATCATATTTGATATTTAACTGGATATATCTCAACACTACTAAGAAGTTCCGCAATAGGATTAAACAATTGTCCAATATGTTCCCTGGATTTTCAATGGCTCACGAGTTGAAGTCAATTCATAATGAAAACTTCTCTATATAGGACAGTTTCAACCATATATTTTAGTACCTAATCACTTTGAGAAAAATAATACACAAATTCAAAACTAACCAATATTTGTTGAAAGTCATCAAATCACTTTAATCTTAGCTATTGTGTTATTTGCTGGTAAATCACATCAAGGTTAGATTAACACATTAGTTTATTTATTTATTTTAAAACATAGATATTGGTACAAGGAGGCATCAAATATATATGCGCCATAAAAATCTCATTTGATATATGTGAGGGCTGTGATACTGCTCGTGTGCCCAAACCGAAGCAGGTGGTTTTCTTAGGGGGCCACACCCCGAGCTTTCGACCTGAAGGTCTAATCCACAAGGCAGTGGAGCATCGTAAGGAGATGCGATCCCGTGGAAGCCGGTGACCAACGATTGGTTCATACGCCATTTCTTCCCACAGGATACTGGAGCCCATGTGCACCATTGTTTTGGAATCCGGTTGAAGCGCCGGATATTCGCTTTTCGTCCTCTCATTTTCGTAAACAACAACCCCGCCACGATAAAGCAGTGAGTAGGACTTCCCTGGCAGAGGCTGTATACGCGTGGCCATGTGAGAGCATTTGGAGAGGGAGAGCGGACTCTCCCCACTCTCGGCCGTACCAGGGCATTTGGGGGCCAACACATTAGTTGGTTATAACTAATGATATTTTGTAAACAAAAAATTATTTCTAAAATCATTATTCAGTAGGATTTTAGTTTTTTTTTCGTTTCGTAAATAGTCAAGTTAAAATTTAAAGTTAGTTTTCTACGCCCTTAACAATTAATCTACCAAATGCGTTGCTGTATTTTGCTTTAGACAATCAATAAGCCTTGAATATTTCTGTCTTTTTGCAATATCTAGTTGGAAAAATATAAGCCTAGATGAATTCTATATATATATGAGTATTGTTGTTATTTTAATTGATAACCCATATGATAGTGTTAACTAAATACCAGATCACGACATAAAACGATTTATAAACCTTAATAGATCTATAACTAGGACCAAACTGAAAAACTCATTTACGTCTAACTAAATCGTTAAACAGTTTATAGTTAAAATTATACAAAAATATGATAGAATAACTTACCAAAATTATACTGATTCATTTATTAGAGAATAATCATACATTTCATATTACATTCTTGTTTCCATCAGTAACTTAATAATAATTGTCTTAGCTTAATACGATATGCAAAAGTATGGCTGAAGGTCATTTGTGACATTTCACCAAGTGTCATATCCAAAGTTTCCAACCATTTTTTTTCCGTTTATTTACTGGTTGGTTGCTCGATATTTGCATTCATTCTCACTATTATAATAACTTCAATTATGTCAATAGTTTTATACAATTAGAAATAACAAATAACTTTAAAGATATCATTCAGATAACAGTCAACTGCTCACTAGTGACTGACTTCAGGGGGTACTTTTGGAGTTCTAGTGACAAGCCTTTACCAGTGGAGTTCAACCAGGTCTGTTGTGAGATATCAGCTCATTGAAGACAATGGAGTACGATGGCGCAACTTCGTGGATTGGTTGAAGTTAGACATTAACACCGTTGGGTGCCGGCTCAGTGGTCTAGTGGTTAAGTGCTCGCGCGCGAAACCAATAGGTCCTGGGTTCGGATCCCACGGGGGGCGAGATCATAGATGCGCACTGCTGAGGAGTTCCATACTAGGACGAAACGGCCGTCCGGTGCTCTCAGGTTTTCAATGGTGGTCTAGCTTCAATTGACTCATGATTTCAACCTGTGAAATTTTTAAAAGATTTTGTTTAAATGTAATTTTAATTCATCAAATTACAATTTACGATAGAAAATAAAACATTCAAAAAGTAATTAAGTGTTTAATCACTATATCCATAGTAAAACTACAGTTAGTATTTCTAGATTGATTTTATGATGTGTATACCTTTCTAAACACAAAGTTGTCTTTTCATTAAAATAAGCGTAATAATACCCTGGGAGGCCTAACAATAGTATTAATAAAGTATAATAAAACGTTTCAAAAACATTCATTGATTCAGTATTAGACTTGATGAAATGTGAATAAATTAGAAATTTAAGCAGACTGATTTTATATGTGAATCGGTTGTATTTCAATTACATATTATCATTATGAGATTTTAAATGGAAATCAATGAGGTAGGTGTTTTTTTTCACAAAAGCTTATAATTTTACTTTTGAACATTCAACAAACAAAATAATAAAGGAAATAAATGAGGTATCGACCGTCAAGGGAAATTGCCAGTCAATAATGACCACAGAAATATACCCAGTTTTCAACAATTATCTATAACTCATACTATATTTTCCATTTGACTGAATCAAAATATTTAATGAAATGTGGTTAAACCAAGGATAATTACCGGATTCTATTCTTTGTGATGCCGTGCACCCTTATAAGAAGTTTCATACTAGGACACAACAACTATCCATTTCTCTTTCATTTTCACTGGTCACTTCACTGTAATGAATGACACTTACAAATTAAACAAATTGTCAATAAACTCAATGAATATTCACTAGCTCCAGTTCTATATTCTTCTAATAATTACTTTACTGTTATGCAACGAATAAAGTTTCACTTTAGATTTTGTTATTCAGTTAACTTGTTGGAAATATTTGTCACCGTATTCACATTCATAGATTTCTCAATGAAATCCTAACACCGTCATTAGTTCAGTGAATAATGGTTTACAAGTTAGAAATCTGCTACGTTCAGAAGATATTAACTGATTATTATTGTATATACAATTAATTTTAGATCAATATGTATTATGAACGATTATTAGATCAATGTAGACAAGATTGTTTTGATGCACGATCTGTTGTTTATTTACAAGAATTAATAAAGAATCATAAACGATTTCAAACAGAAACACAAATTGCTATTATTCAAGTAAGATGATTAATTTACTTTGTATTTGTTTTTCTTAGTTGAACCTTACATAAATTATATAGATAATTATTTGTTTCTGAATTATTTAATAGGCGGTTATAAATAGTACCTTTCGACGTGGCGCTTATATTAAACGTATTATCTTAGGAAACTTTCCAAGATCAACCGAATTGTTTCTTTGAATATGCTCACTTTATTTAATAACGAAACATTTGAGAAATAATGATTGAATAATGTACATAATTATTAGTTAAATTAAAATGTATCAAAATATTATATTATTCCTATCATACCATTGATGAGTATCACAACCTGTTAGGCCATAGTCATATCTTAAAGTTTATTATTATAGGATAGTCATTTTAAATTTTATTGTCAAGTGAATCATCACATAAACTGACATTAAACTGAATGGTAAGACTAGTTTCTCTGAAGCAATTATTTTCTATCGAATAAGTATTTCTTAGCTGATTTATGAAATCATTGAAACCCGATTGAGTTCAAATCCGGAATATTAGACTTCACGTGTGACCTTGAGTTCATTTGTTTTCTAATTTGACCACTGTGAATATATCAGTATAGTATCTTCAGTGCATACGGGCTGTAAATGATATATTCAAAAGTAATTTTAATTGAATATATATATATATATATATATATATATATATATATATATATCATTCTTTTAAAAAAAAGATTTTAATGATCATTTATGTTTACCGAGAATTGTTCACAAAACTGCATTACTTAATGGAAGGAAGGATAATGTGAAATTCCACTGAAGGCGTATTATTTAAATTATGTTAATTAATACGAAACGACGTTTTCGTTATGCTGAAAAAAAATTTTCTTGGCTTCCAAATATCTTGAGTTTAAATTTCAGTTCGATGAGTTCTCAACTTTACCAATAACATTTTTTAGCTTATCAATATAGGGTTGTGGAGAGTGCTGAGTTTCAATCGATATCGTAAATGGATGAATGTTAGACCACCATTGAAAACCTAGAATTACTTGACAGCCGTTTCGTCCTAATATGAGACTCAGCAGTTCGCATATACGATCCCACACGCCAGACTTGAACTCAGGGCTCTCGGTCTCGCGGGCGAACGCTTAGCCTATAGACCACTGAGTCGGCTGGCATCCAACAGTGTTAATGTCTAACTTCAATCAATCCACGATATTGCGCGACCATCCATCATTGTCGCTAGTGAGTAATTACCTCTACAACAGACACAGATGAACTTTACTAGCCACGGCTTCTTGCTAGAAATCCAGGAGACTTATGTTGAAGCCAGTCACTAGTGAGCACATGGATCGTGGATTGGTTGAAGTTAGACAAAAACACATTAGATGCCGGCTCAGTAGTCTAGAGGTTAAGCGAGACAGAAGGTCCTGGGTTCGAGTCCCGCGTGCGACATCATGTATACTCACTGCTGAAGAGTCCCGTACTAGGACGGAATGACCGTCCAGTGTTTCTAGGTTTGCAATGGTGGTCTAACATTTATCCAATCGTAATATTTAAACTTGTTTAAAAACAATAAACCTAACTCCTCTGTTTCTAGTTAAATTAAGATCTGAAATTCCGTATGCTAGTTAGTTTTGATGAATTCAGTAAACCTTAAGCTTTTTCATAATTGTTTAATAAAACTCTTAAAACATGACTAATCACAATTTTAGTTATTTCTTAGAATATATGGTGTATTGACTACTTACTAGCTAGTTTGCTTGAAAGTTATCAAGTAGTTAATGGGTATCTGGATTTGCTAGCTCAGTGGATAATACGTTGGGTATTTAAAACAAATGATGCTGAGTTAGAGCTTAAATGCGAACATCAACATTAGGATCCAAATATATTCAGCTGACGCGTCCTAAGTCAAACGAAACGCGCGTTCTGTATTGATATGGTAAACTTAAAATTACTGAAAGGTCTGGAATTTTCATTAAAAATGTATTTTTACACTAAAGATTTACTTAATTATTTACTTCATTACGTCTGTCCTATGAAAGAAATGGGCCTTAATAATTTTCGTAAGATTACCTAGTGCGCATAAGTATTTGATATGACAGTAGGTAGTTGATAGGGAACTTTAGACCTAGGTTTTGTGCTCTTTGGGGTTCTTCAGCAGAGTGTTCTAGTGACCCAAGGGATCCAGTGTTTCCTAACAGATTCTGTGCCGTGTTTCTCAGTTTCACAGTCAGAGATGTTATTACTGAGCTATCAGGGTGACAAGTTATATGGTGTATCATGACAGCGTATTTAACTATGAAGCTAGGTGAAACGGGACAGAATCATCCGGGGAGTGCCAATTCCCCCCACACATTACTAACGAGTGTATGTAGCCCAAATCCAAGGTTCCTTACCGACCATCTGCAACTACCTCATATCTCAACCTATTGGTTACTATGTAGAATCCTCAGACTAGTGACTAGAATGCTGGATTGGATCAGTATTAAGAACGTTTTGATATACATGGCATTCGTCAATACTAATTAATCGATCAGTTGTAAATATGTTAAACATAGTAGTGGTTTGTTTGAAGTCGAATGATTATGGAGTTTGATATGATTCATAAAATCATGTTTTATTCAACAATTGACGAATAATCAGTCGAAGATAGTTAGTAACTGATAAGTTAGTCTACTAAACAGTACTGTTTTGGTTATCTTATCAAAGGTAGGTTAATTTAAGTTTGTAATATTAGATTTACAGTCGGTTGACATTCTCCTATACCATGAAATCGTATCTGGTTTAGTTTTTTTACCAATCAATCAATAATTTTGAATAATTTGATTATCAGTTGTCTTAAAAGATCGTAATTGGCAACCTAAATAATGTATTGTTTCTGTTATTTGAATGGTTTTATTACCTGTATTTGGATCATTTGAACAGTTTTTTTTCACTTATCTTCTAATTACTAGGGTGTAATATCCATAAACTAAAAGGACAACCATCATTATAGGTTTTGACCACATCAATACCACTGAAATCAATGAAAATATAGCGGTAATTATAATCATGAAGAAAATTAACTAGATGACTGAATCTAGATGAGAATGAGGCTAGAGGATAAACAAAAAAAATTTTTTGCCTCCTTCACCACATTGATTTTTTTATATTGTCATGACAACATTGTTAGGGCTGAAAAATACACATAGTTTAAATATTTTCTTTGTCTCTGACTAGAAATAGTCAGAGTTTTGAGGTGACAAGTAATAAAATGATTATCGATGAATATATATTGAATATTGGATCGACAAATAATTTTAAATAGAATATATTTAACAGATTCGTATTTCTCTGTTTTACTATAATCTCTTTAACAGAACAAAAGTATTTCGTTTTTAATGAAAAGTTTGTGATGACTGTACTTAATTTAAATGATTGTGTATTACAGCAATTCAATCATACTTTGGGAAGTTATCTAATTGAATGTATGAAGTAGTATCTCTGTATGTTAGTCTAAATCAATTATACTGATACCACATATATGTTGTAAGAGTTACTTTACCTAGCTTAATATTTGTAATAATGATATCTGTAGTAATTTAAGTGTTTGACGGAATGAGAATTGTGTTTATCTCAATATCCGGAGTGATTTGATTTCTTTTGAATAGCTGAATAACAGATTAATCCATTTTTGATCTATAATAATCCGTCCTATTGTCCAATTTCATCAGTCTACAGTACTCTGTTAGGTAATCTATAGTACATGCAAAATAACGTTGTGTTACTTTAAGATGAGCAAGTTTTGTAAATATGTATGTTTACTATATTTTAAGATATTATTAGGTAATAAATTAGTAAAATAGTATGTTGTTAGGATTGAAACAGTCATCTTATATATTTTGATCATCTAAGATTTATCTGTTAACCGATCGTCACAGCCAAAATCTCGATTTACAAATGAACGTTAAGCTAATGTACGTCCAATTTGGCGCAAAATAGGTAATATGATGCATTAGTTACAATAAAAGTTCAAAATACTATCCTTTAGGGTGAGAAAAAAACTGTCGATAAGATTATACTTACTTACTTACTTACGCCAGTTACTCCTAATGGAGCATAGGCCGCCGACCAGCATTCTCCAATCCACTCTGTCCTGGGCCTTCTTTTCTAATTACATCCAATTCTTGTTCATTTTACTCATGTCTATCTCCATTTCTCGGTGTACTGTGTTCTTTGGTCTTCCTCTTTTCCTTTGCCATTGAGGATTCCATGTGAGGGCTTGTCTTGTGACGCAGTTGGGTGCTTTCCTCAATGTGCGTCCTATCCACTTCCAGAGCTTCTTCCTGATTTCTTCCTCCGATGGGATCTGGTATGTTCTCTCCCACAGTACATTGTTGCTAATAGTGTCCGGCCAACGGATCCGAAGTAATTTGCGTAGACAACTGTTAATAAACACCTGTATTTTCTGGATGATGACTTTCGTAGTTCTCCAGGTTTCTGCCCCATACAGTAGAACTGTGTTGACATTTGTATTGAAAATCCTGACCTTGGTGTTGGTTGACAGTTGCTTTGAGCTCCAGATGTTCCTCAGTTGTAAATATGCTCCTCTTGCTTTGCCGATCCGCGCCTTCACATCTGCATCTGATCCACCGTGTTCATCAATGATGCTGCCCAAATATGTAAAGGTTTTCACATTTTCCAAATCGTTTCCGTCAATTTCGATTGGATTGTTGCATTCTGTGTTGTATCGGAGAATCTTGCTTTTCCCTTTGTGTAAATTGAGACCTACTGCTTCTGAGGCTACTGCTACATTGTTCGTTTTCTATAAGGTTATAATTGATATAATTTAAACTGTTTGAAATATAAATGTTGTATTCCAGCCTGAAGATGATATCCAGTTGATGTTATGTTCAAAAACAATGTTCTGAATGTATTTTTTTGACCATCTGAATAAATAAGTACAAATAATTGAAACATTTAAGAGGGTGAGACTATATTTTATGAATGAACTAATAAGATATAGGATAACAGGTCTTGGATTTTGGTGCAAAGTTCAATCATCCATTTGGCTAAATAGCGTTTTGGAATTTTTGTGATAAAAAGCCTAAATCTAATTCCTAACCCTGACCATCGACTATTAATTCTAATTGTAATTCCTCACACCGATTTATAACTCACATTTATTACTAGTTAATAAGTGAAAATTTTCAATGTTCACTTTAGCGTCGCTCAAAGGCCGTCCATAAATTATAGTCTCACCGTTAAGAGAACAAAATATGATCAAATAATCTAAACGTACTGTAGAGGTATTAATTAATTAACTTCATTATAGTCTGAGACAAAAAGCATCTTATTTTTTCAATAGGTGTATTGTTTATCAATGCTCTTGTTGTGATTCCTTAATATTTAGCTACATATAAATGTGACAGTGTAGAAACTTCAGCCTATATGTTTAGATTTTATATGAACAATGTGAAATTGCTTTATATTTTCTACATTTTCACTTCACTAACTAGGTCTTTGAATAATTTATTTCATACTTGAAAATAACGTTTTAGTAGCCCGGGATCTGACTCCAATTTTAAATTGTATGAATGTTCGTTATTGAATGATTGCTGTCGAAATATATATGTCATTTATCCTCGTATATTTCATCGACTTAAATCGCGTTAGTCAATAACAGAATTAAATAAGCCAAATATGTGAATGAATATCAAGTACGTATATTTCATACAATCGTTGATCCAGAGAAGCGAAGCGATATGACAAGCGGCTGAGTAGGCATGATTATATACTAGGATTGACGCTATGTATGTCTCAATAGCAATCAGAAACGACTTGACTTGGAATCAGATCCCGGGCCACTAAAAACTACTATTTTAGCTAGATTAAATGATATCAAATCACTTACTAAGATTGGTCAGGAATTCGTATTTATTTTATTTATTTATTTGAACACAAATATTGGTACAAGAAGATACCAAATATATATGTGTCACACAAAACAATGAGAATTCGAAGAGACAAAAAAGAATAACGAACAACTTGGAGTAAAATAGCGTAATAATAATAATAGTAATATTAAAGGAAACAGAAAGGTAGAATCGGAAGAAATCTTTCAGTTAAAGAAGAAACAACTACTTTTTATTAAGAAAGTAAAAGAAGGTTACAGCAGGATCGTCACTGGCTTCTATTCTGAGCCATATCTGATAACATCTCTAGCCATTGTGTTGCACCATCTCTAGGACCTCAGCCAGGGAGTCGTGAAGGATCAACAGAAGCCATCCCTTTGCAGCTTTCTTTCATACCACGACACCATGTCATACACTGACCACCTCTCCGCTTTTTCCAACCAGTCCCACAGTCGGCAAATAATGCACGACATGGAATTCTCTGAGACGACACTCGTGGAACATGTCCAAGCCACCAAAGTCGGTGTTTCAAGATGGTGACACCAATTGAATTATCATCTCTGTGCCCGAACACACGATGCCGAACCTCTGCCTTACTAACATGGTGTTGCCACTGGATGTCAGCAATCCTTCGGAGACAGTGATGATCGAACACAGAGAGTCGTAAGAATTCATATTAATCTAGTTTAAATTCACTAATAAAGATTTTTGTCAAAGACTTTCTGTTATTCATATTTCATTAACTCGAAAGATACCATTAAAGTCGATTTTTGTTATGATTTGTCATTATTATCTAACTTTTGTCAAAACCTATGAACAATGTTTAACGGGAACTTTCAAATAATAATAAAACTTTTTTTTTCTACTGAATTTATAATAAACCATCTTAAGTGTACTTAATTTACCAAATTTAGTAATATAACATTGAAATATATAATTAAAGCTTACGATTTAATTCTTATCCCGAGTCGTTTTTGTTAAAATTAACTTTAAATATTCACTTGATTACATGCATTTGGATACATGCAAATGAATTCATGTTTATGTAATCAGTGTTTTAATAATGTTGATTCATTGAAATTTTCTTTATTGAAGGTTCCAAAAATATCCGCAATGCAAGCAGAAGTTGAACGTACAAAGATTTCATCGATAACTCCAAATATAGCAAAATTAGTGAGTTAACTATTTCATGATTACGTTAAGGAGGTTTATTTTAGTTTTAATTGTTAAACATATTGATATTCCGATATATATTGGTTGTTTAGTTCTCCTCATTGATATAGATTGATGTACATTCAGCTGATGAGCTCCGTATAGGAAAAAACGCGTGTCCATGATTACAACCACCATCCTTCATTTCCTAAAATATTGGTACTCCATTTTCCCATATCTAAAATGTTATTATTTCGATTCTGGGTTTGTTCTGAATAAAATTGTCAACTAAAACGTTTTCGTTAATTTCAATGGGATTATTGTTTAAATATTTATAGATTGTTCAGTAGTACCTAATGAGTTAAGATTCACCGAAGTATAAGATATGATTCAGGCATGAAGTTATGATTAACAGTAGTTATAGAAACCACTTAGCTAATTGTCTTCATAATCATGTATAGGGTTTCCAAAAGGAAAGATGAAAATCTCTAGTACTTTTGGTTCAGAAATGTACTTTTTTCGTAAAATACTAAACGAAGAAGATTGAATTCAGTGAGGTAATTGTGACTGACTAAAAAAACTGTAAAGACTTTTTTTCTGTAATAGAACTTATCAATGTGATATTGTGTTGATTGTAGTGTTAAATAATCAAAAAATTGACTATTGGGCTAAAGAGTTAACTGTGATGTGAAATAACGTTAAGTTTATAATAATTGTAATCTGAAAAACGGACTAAATATCGGGAACAGTAAAATGAAGTTGGATAGAATATCATATGATTTACTGAAAAGTTACAAATGAATAAATAGTTTTATCCTTCTGTTCATTTACAAACACGTTAGGATAGAAATGTAGTTAAGTCACAAAATGTATTCGACCAAATGTGAGGTAAATGATTATTCATACTGACTTTATATTTTAGGGGTGATAAATACTCCATGAAATTTCTTGTCACACCTTAGATCACTTTACAAATACACACAATCTGTTATCTTAACACAATTTTCGTTGCACATCAGATGGTCTCATACATACTACAGCAAATACTTACTTTCAACATTTTAACATGATTGGATGACCAATTTAGTATACGATTAACTGGAGAACCATGTACTTCAAATTCAGTGTCTGAGATTCTATAAATATATTTTTCCTCCTTGATGTTTTATGTTGACTCAGCGCGCAATTACTGTGAAATTGTTAGTCCAAACTCAGACGAAAGTTCTTATATATGACTTTGTATTTGTTTGAGTTAGACCATATATTAGTCGATCGCTAGTTCTCTAACGTCAATTAGAGTAGAATTATTATTTTCTTAATTATTTATCATAGTTAAATGGTTAAAGGATGCCTGTTGGACTTTCCATATTCATTACATTTTATTATCGTTCGAGACAATTTATAATTTTTAGTTGCCTAAATAATTGACGAAAAATGAATCATTTTAACATGTTAGAAGGAATGGGTAGATAAATTCTTAACCTTCTGACACGCGTTTGTATTTCAAGTTATGGTTAACGTATAAGGAAATTCGTTATGTATATTATATTTATGTAAATCTAGTTATCAATGTTGATCTGTTTAATCTGATCAATCGTAGCATATTTATATTTATCACGTAGATAATTTTTATTACAGACAAACATTTGAATGAGTAGTCACTCTATTTTAAAGACTACATTTCATATAAATTCACTTGGTATTGTTTACTTGGATCTTTGTATTGATGTTTAGGACAGTAATTGATCAGTCTTTTATTGGCATATAGGTATACTGTGCGTATTCCCTTGATATTGTCTTCAGTCACAAGCATTATAGGCAAAGATGGATGGTGGCTATCAGTGGAAGCACGTTTCGTCCTATTTAGGACTCGTCAGCTGGATGTACTTGCATCTCGGAGTGAACATCAACTCTGAGATGCAGGTACATCCAGCTGAAGAGTCCTAAATAGGACGAAACACGCCTCCTAAATTCCACTGATAGCCACAATCCATATTTGCTTAATTTCATATATCTTATAACTTTTGCATAATACATTGAAATACATATCGAATGATTAACCGTTAGGGTATAATGATATTTTAAAAAATCGAATATTAGATAGAAAATGACTGTTAAACTATTAAGTAGTTAAAATTTAATTTAGATAAAAATATTTTTAGTGTGAATGCATATTACTTTTATAAACTTGTGATTTATTTGTGAATCTTTATTTACACTCGAAATTGGAAAGAAGTAAGAAAGCGTGTTCAAGAGTTACATGTCGTCTACTCAAACAATAATAATCATTTTTCTGTTACGAATATTTATACAATTGTTTTTTTGTTATAGTTAAGTATAATTGACTTGGGAAGAAAAGATTTTCTGAATAGATAAGTTAATTTTACAGAATTTTAGACTAATGTTTCTGTTTTTACTGGGATATTTCAATATTTTGATTATTTACTAGATAAATGAATCCGAAATCTCTACTTTTGTATCTGGTTTGCCTCTTAAAAATACTACTAAACTAATTTTATTTCAATTGAGATCATGAACCGATCGATGTTAGACCACCATTGAAAAACTGGAAACACTGGATACTCCTTTCATCCTAGTATGGGACTCCTCAACAGTGTTCATGCAAGACCCCGCACGCGAGACTCGAAATCTAGGACCTATAGTCTCACGAGTGAACGCTTAACCTCTAGACCACTGAGTCGGCGTCTAACGATGTTAATGTCTAACTTCAACTAATCCACAACTTTATTTCTTTGTCTACTTTTCTGGCAATCTTTGTCAGTTTTATTTATAGAATATTTTTTGTAACGATATAAGATTAATGATTGTTTTCAGATTTCTATTTAGTACATATTGATTCTTGTATAAAATCTTCATCAGGATTTATTTAATCCACGCCTAATTAATCGATAATCGGGTGGGACTGATTACTAAGAAGTATTTCTTGTGTGTGGTTATTTTTCTTTACGAAAAGAATACGTCATGTTTTAGACTTATTATTTCACTCAGTACTTTGTGATATTTATATTGCCCATGTTATTATTGTAATATAATCATCATCATTCAAATATCTGCTCAAAATAAATATTGAAATTGTTCTTTTGAGGGTTCATTAAGTGAACACTGCATAGACAATAAATTTTTGGGAAACTTAAAATCATGGATTTTTTGTATGATTAAAGTTTTCTTATTTCTGATATTAAGGAATAAATTCTGATCATTCTCTACTGGTTAATGTGTATCCTATGCGTAATCCCTTGGGTACCACCATTTGTATTGTTTATTGAAGCAAAAGACTATTAGTTCCAAGTCCCTGTATAAACATCAATGTTGTTGACTGGCAAGTCTCAACAGGATAAAACACATGTCCTGCATTCCACTGCTATAAACAATCCATCAATCTAATAAACCTTATGAATTTTTTGGTAACATAATAATTAAAGGTTAAATTACAATAACATTGCTCTTTATAGTATCAAATTATATATATATATAATTTGATACTATAAAGAGCAACTGTACCATAATTAGTTTGTATTTGAATTTATATTCATATTTGTTGTAACTTGTGGGTTTGTGCCCCATTAATGTATAACGTAATGTTATCGCCAATTAGAGAACAGTGAATTATCGACTGGATCAATGACGCATAAAACCGGTACAAGCAGTCTGGAGTCTTTATCGGTCCTGCTTCCTGCCTAGCCCTGCCTGTTGTGTCCACAACACCGATCTCAGCCTCTGCGATACGAATATGTGTTTCAAACATACTGGGTTTATATACAAACCAAACAGACCATATCGCACTATAAAATAAAAAAATAACATTTGTACAAGATTTAGCCAAAAAAAGGCTGTGAATGTGGAGATAGTAATTGATAGACTGGGCAAAACTCAAGAATGGTAAATCGTATAATAATAGTTCATAGGTCAAAATAATGCCTTATAATAAGAGGAACACGAATATGAATAGTTTAGTTACTTAAAAATTATACAATAAAAATATACGTTTAGTATTAGTCTAGAAATAAATCCTAACAGTTACTATTCCTTATTGTCATCTGGATATGACAATACTGTGTGATGAATTTTACTATTATACATTGAGAATTCTTCATCCATTACATATTCATCATGAATTATAACATCAAACAAATATTCTTAATAGTTTTGTGATGTTAACCATCTTTATACTGAACAATGATCAACATTATACTGACTATAAAAAAAACCTATGTGATTCTAACATTCCTAATAGTTTCCAATTACATTTCTTAAAATGTGAATTTAAACAAACTGAAAAGATGAAAAAAATCTTTCCATGTACTTTATTCTATTAAAATCTTCTTTTAAAAGTAGTATAATCTATTGTTAGTTGACATAGTGAATTGGTTACACTTTGAAAAGACAGTTATGTTAAAGAATGTAGAACAAAAGTTAAGGAATGAATTTTAGTTACCTTATTTTTACGCAATAGGCGTTAACAAGGATGTATATTGTTTTTTTCTTGCCAATTAGTTCATACATGTTCATTGTGTTCAGTGAGATAATGTAGATTCATAAGTGTATGTGAGAAATGTAGAATAAATATTGGTGGAAATTGTTAAATTAATCAATTTACTTTATCAGTAATAGTGTTACACACAAAAAAACCCAATAAAGATTGATGAAGCCTAACCACTAGTCATATTAATAACTAGCAGACTAATTGAAAATCGTTTAGTAATTCTTGTAATTGATAGAATAATGGGTTCGCTTTAAAAAATCTCAACGTTTTTTTTTTATTTTCCATGCTTTGTTTATTTGATTACTTACTTACTTACGCCTGTTGCCCCTCGTTGAAGAGCATAGGCCCCCAACCAGGATTCTCTATCAAACTCTAAACATTGAGCTCCTGATTGTTAAACTTATATTCTCACGATCACTCCATTCTAGATTGTAATCACTTAAACCCTACTTAGCTTTACTCAGTGAATTTCATCAGTTTATGTTATGTCATCTTAAATACAATCGTAAATCAGAAGATTTCTGTAACTTCAATGATCATTAAACTGCATATATTTTGGTTCCATCAAATTGATCGTTGTTTTTGTACTAATATTTATTTTATGGTTCTAGTAAATATTCACAGTAAAGTAAAGTCTTAGACCATTACGTGTTTTGAATGAGTTTCTTTATTGACCCCGATTAAAATTATTCTTCATTATGTAAGTAATTAAGTTTAACATCTCTACATTTCACTCAAAGAATATGTAGTATCTTTACAATTCTACTATAAAATTTATTATATAACCTTTTATTCAGTTAAGAAAATATCAGTGTTTTTGAGCATTTTAATTAAATGGATCTATGGTGCGTCTGTAATTTATGGAAAACCTTTGAGTCATGGTAAAGTGGCCTTGAGAAACGTGGACCACCTACTAGGGTGAAAATAGTGTTATAAATTCGTGTAAGGAAGTAGAACTAAGAGTTAGAGTTTGGAATTAAGTTTTAATTTTCATCACAAACTGGCAGCAAGAATGTCAAAATATCATTTAACCCAAATCCAGAAGTCACTCTCTTGAATCTAATTGATTCGTCTATAAATTATAGTCCTGCCGAATTTTCTAGTCCTTATTTGCATATGACTTAATAAATATTTAACACATCCTGAAGACTTCACATCTATATTTGTTTATTGACTGCTGGATCCAACTAAATTTATGTTCACTAGAAAATATACATTACTAAAAAGGATATTTTAATCCATGTTTTATTTACAGTTAATGTATAATTTTCCATGCAAGTTGATGTCATATATTCCAATACTCCAAAGTAAATTGATAATACTTTCCCCTATTTATTTCCTTCAATCTATCAGCTTCGAGTTGACTATAGGAAGTTTCAAATATCCAAAGAAGAATTAATTCAATTCTCCATTTCTCAATTGAAAGTTATTATGAATGATTTGCATTCTAGAATCGAAAGTGAGAACAATAGTTTTGATTGTGTAATGATTGTATTTATTCTAGTTTTGAATATTGTATAACAGACTGGAATTCAGTAGTCTAAATTGTTAAAAAAAATTATTATCAAGAACTATCTTCACATCGAATAAACATTCTTAATGACATTGTTGGTGCATTAAGTAGATATTGGAAAATATCTAGGAAAATTAATATCAGATTTTATAAGTCTGTAATAATCCATAACATTTTATGGTCGGATAAAACTGGTCAGTCTTTATTAATTACTGATTAGTAAATTTCAAATGAATTAATTTGTTAACTGATTAATTAGTGTTTTTGTATGCATTGTATATTGGTGTTATATCTAGAACTTGAATTTTTGCTATACTGTCCACAACTTGAGCACTCGAACGCTTGAACCCTCCAAGTCTCAAGTTAGAAGACAAAAGACAAGTGAAAAGGAATCTTATTCCAACCAGAGTCATATATCGTACAAAACACTTGGGTATTTATATTTTTAGTAAAGACAAAATCATCATTACAATCGTCCAGTCCATATGCCGTGGTTTTTAGCACTTGTCCGATAGGGAAGCTACAGGCCGAGATTCTGAAATATCCTTCCAAACGATGACTGGATAGAATGTCCTGAGCTCTTCCAGAGCTCCTTAGAGCTTCCTTGAGTTCACTTGGAGCCGTTCCCATGACTAGCGAACGAATTTCAGAGAATAAAGCTGGTTCTATCAGGGTGTATGAATAATTTATAATTAGCAGTAGATTTTGTTTGATTTAGTAGCTAAATTTAAGCAGTAATTATTTCGGTAACACTGTGATACATTTGATGAATTCCAGCTTAGAATTTAGTAAATCAGTTTGTAAAACAGTATGATAGATTCGAGTCAGGTTGAAAAAATTGAATTGTTGCCAGCAAAATGTTTGCCATCAATGTTTTGTGTATCTTAGTATTAAAAATGACCACGAGGTAAATACTTCAAATCGATCTCAGGCGGTTCAAATTAAATTGTTGTGAATGAATGCTTTATTTTATTTTGTATTATTGTCTTGTATTATTGATAAAATATTACTGATCCTACTATTCTATTATTTCAGGTCTAAACAATTCGCTCATGTTGTCATTAGTCGAAAGAGATGAGTTGCACCTAGAACAAGGTGGTAAATTAATTGCTTTAGAAGATATCAAGTCGTAAGTTATTTTCAATTTTGTTTTGTATATTGACTTTCAATTAAATAATTTTAATAGTTGAATTCATGAGCTGATCTAAGCTAGACCACCATAGAAAACCTAGAACTAGGACGAAACGGCTGTCCAGTACTTCCAGGTTTTCAATGGTGACCTAGTTTAGATCGACTCATGAATTTAAAGATCAAAATTACTACAATCTCCACAATTTTTCATTCTGAAAATTAAATAATTGATAAGAATTAGAAACAGTATGGTTTTATGGTTCATGATATCAATAATGGAAAGTTACTAGACATTACTAATGCCATCATAGCTACTGAACAAGGTAATGGCTATCTAGAGTCAGTATCCTCAATGGATAACATGCTAGTATTTTTAGCAAGGGGCACTGAGTTCGAACGTCAGTGTTAATATCAACAATAAAATTTGTCAAAACGCTCATCCTGGACTCCCCTGCTAGTTAGATATGAAATTAGCTGAACAGGATTTTGTTTAGTTAGCTTTAAGTCACACATTTTGTCAGTGGAAGGATTCGAACTTGCAGCTCAAATTTTAGGGTTCGAGTACTTTGACTAATAGTTCACCTCTACACATTGACTTTCATATTTGGGTTACTTGACAGAAACGTTAAGTATGTATTATGCCTTGTGATGGCTAACCCAGATTACGATCAGAATTCTAATATGGTCTACTTCGCATCTACTATTTTCTTGAAAGTCTAGTGTCCGCAAATTGACAAACTATACTCCAGATTAGTACTACTGACCTTTGCCGCACAGCTAAGACCCTATTGGTCTAGTGTCTGCTAGCTTTTTTCTATGTCCCGCCTTGAGTCTAATAGTTAGCAACCAGCTGTTACTATATCTTATGATGTTTCCGTACCACATCACACTATAAAATATAAAATAACAATTATACACAAACAAGCCCAAATTTTCTGTGAGTAGGAAAGATTTTAAATAATAGACTGGTAAGAAGTCAGGACTAGTAAACCGTAAAACAGTAATTAGTGGGCCAACTAAAAGCTTATGATAATGGAGTGTACATACATAATCTAGTTACTTGATAATTATACAAAAAAATAAATAATAAGTTGGAAAATCAGTTCTAGCTTTTATAATATTCGTTCCATCATAAAATTATACATTATAAGATTTGATGGTTGTAACTGTTGAAATCTGTGTAGAAAAATCAACGAATGAAAACTGATAGTAAGATTTAACAATTTTTACATACGCTTTTCGTAGATGATCAATCGAGTTAGTTGAAAATAGAAATAAATGCTTGCAGTGTAACCGGTATATCTGTAACATGACTGACGCTAGACTGTAAATGCCTAAGTAAACTTCACTCCTTTTACAATTATTTTCAGTTACCAAGCTGAAGTTCAGTTTACGAGAGGTGTCACCTGAATAGTGTAATAAGACCGCACATTTATGACATAGCTAAGTAAGATGCTGCATAAAAAGCATCGGGTCCAAGTGTAACTGTTTACTGTTCATTTAACTTTTGTATTCAGTTTGGAAGTCGGAAAAAAGTGTGTTCAAATTAATTGAATTTCAGTAAAGTAACATTATCGATCTCCAAATCTAATTGTCAATATAAATGTCTTTCAAATGATGTCGAAAAATAGTTAGATGAGTTATTGAGAACTTGTTTTGTTGGTGATAAAGATTCCTAAGTGAGTAGTTTTTTTTAATCAAATAATCTAAAAGCACCCCAGTAATTTGGAACGCTCGGAGGAATCGAGAAGAAATGTATACATGTTTCTCAATGACTTAGAATGTTTGGTCCCCTCTGTTAACTGTTTCACTAGTTTACATTTTTATTTATCCACACTAATGTTGTGTCTGTAAGGTAACGTTAATAGAATTCCCTATTTGGCGTTATTCAATCACTAGTCAGTCGGTCAACCGAAACGTAGAAGATGGTATATATATGTAAACTGGTTCAAGTTGCCATACCTCATTAGCAGTCGGTCAGGCCAAATCACAGAACAGTAGAAATAGTAATAGTATGATTAGTGACTGAAAAGATTAGGCATCAAAGATACGATCCAAGAAGAAAATATAAATTATTAAAATAAAAACACAAAAATATTTATGAGGAGTTTAGAAGGTCAAAATTTAGAGGAAGACAGAAAATGGATGCATCTGCGTCATCGCAAACTATTTCGAGCCGTTTCATTTAAAGTTTTTAACCATTGATTACGATAATCATTCAGACCCCAACCAAGTAATCTACACCTGTTAACACAGCTCAGTTCAGTTGTCAGTGACTTCATGAACTGATGCCTTATTTTCGTTTGCCCACCCCTAGCTTTCTTCCAGCCTACCCCTTACCGGACAGCATTATCCGTCAAGGTAGACGTTAACACATTTTACATACACATACACACGTAGCACATGTTTTACCCATCTTAGTTGGTAAATATTTACTACCTCACTAATCGATTTACCATTCTTACTTAGTACCTTATTCCAATGGCTGGTGAACAAAATGCAGATTCAATTCATTGTCATTTTCTTGCATGTTTTGATCTTAATCAGCACACTTCTTAATGGCAGTTAAAACGTCCCAGTTTTTACATCTCACTGCCTATTCTACAAAAGGCAGAGTAAAAACATTCAATAAATAAACAAACACGTTTTTTGAGTCGTTTATTATATTTACAATACAAACTGGAAAGCTATAATACCGTTTTTAAAATAGTTAAATGTCATTGTTGGACAGGGCAAGCATTTAATTATTATTGAATAATAAATATGTGTAATAAGTATAGACTATAAACATTTTAACAATCACCACTTTTAAACAACAATTAAATCAAAGTACACTTCAAAATGTCGGAAATTCAATGAGGAAATTCAAAGATGTTTCTTAATCCACTTGTGCATATTTCTATTTCAATAATCATAGTAATAATTGATCAATCAGTAGTAAATTGATTATATTAAATGATATGCAAGGACTTTTATTTTTGCATGAACGGATTGATGGGAAATAATCAACTTCAATAATTTTCATAACTTCCTCCTATACTATAAAATAAAGATTTGTACGACATTATTATCTTGAAATTACTAATGGAAGGTTACTGAAAATTCTACATAAGTCTCACTTTATGTTTCTAGTTAACAAGCTGTAAATGCATAATATATTGAAACACTTCAATCGACCAATCGGAATTGAGATTGTGGTATGTGCTACCGATGTCGACAGGTATCAGTAGTATGTATCATCAATCGAAAGTGAAATGCCTGGCGACAGAAGGTTAATAAGGTGGAAGAGAAGAGAGCGAGAACAGAGAGTGATTGGTGTAGAGACGAAGGAACAACAAAGTCTGCGACGATTGATTGTTATTTTTCAAATGAAGGTTTTTTTCTGTATCGTCCTAAGATTTTTCTGAGAGATTCTATATTTTTGTACTTATACATCTGATTGTGCCCACTGGTGTTCTCGGTTATTACAGGATAACACTTCATGTATTTTACGCGAAGTTTAAAGTGAAGTGATACATAACATGTATGTCGTTATTCACCAAATTAACAGTATTTGGTTTTTAAAATATTTGAAATCAATGAAAATATCTATTATACGACCGAAGTCTTGATTTTGGGTGGGGTTTAAGCTAAATTACATAACATGCGTACTCTTAAGGAACATCATGTTAATGTACGAGATGTAGTTCAAGTATTCACTCTTTCTTAATCTTACTCTAAAACCCAACCCTAAGTTTTTCAAGGTTCTACACAGTGTGGTCATAAAGCAATAGATTATAGCTCATTTCAGTTCGTGTTGAAAACCCTGACCCCATTTTCTAAACGTAACTCAAAACTCCAATTAAACTATTATTACCTAAGCCTAACTTTTTCGCATTATAAATGATGTTTAGTTGGTGATGAAAACTTTATAAGGTGATAACCTCAACTTACAATATCAATTCGACTCCTAATACATAATGTGAACTTGTCTTTTTTTCGTTACTATGAGGTATAATTTGACTTGTGATGGTTAATTTTCACGATCTAATCTGTTATTCCACTGTTATTACCTTCCATTGTTAACTATTTTATAACTAGGTAGCGTTTCCTGATTTTCCGATAAGTCACCCATGGTTGTCTGTATATTATAGTTTAACCTAACAAATTTGATTCGAGGAGTCAGTCAATTTTTTAAGTGTATATTTTTTATTACTGGGGATTGTAGTTTACTGGCTTGTTAAAAAATTAAAGATTCTGAGGCTGTGGTTTATTTGTTCATGGACAGATATAAATTCTTTACCATTTTCTACTAAATTTGAAGTAAATCTATTTTGATTCATGAAATATCAAAATAGTAGTCTAATTTGAATGTATCTTATGGATTTGACGAAATTGATACGTTAACTATACTGAAAATCTTCATTTATATGACACGTAATTTCTCTTCATCATTTAGGGTAACTTTAGCTTCTTTTTTAATCAGTGTAACATAAGATTTTTCTTATCTATTTAAGCTTATCAATATCTAATTTCATTTTTTCTATTTAGCTGGATTAAAGAACTCAGTATTCGTTCATCAATTCCTCAAGTTAGGCGACAATTATTTCTCAATCTTTCAAGTAATTTATCAAATAACACATACAGTAATGATATTTTTCCTAAACCTCAAACTAAACATAACACTTTACCAAAAAGACCTCAATGGATGACATCCTTATTTAGTCGAGCATCACAGCGACATACTCTCTCATTATAAGATTATATATTAATTTTCTTTTTGTATATCTCAGATTTCATATATTTCCCTAATTGAAAAATTTATGATCATAAATATTTCTTGTTCATTCCTAAATCCTTCTTCTATTTAACTTGTCTAATTCCCATCCTACTTGTGCAGCTAATCATTTTTCTTCAAATATCTAACAGAGTAATTGATATATGACAGGATCTAAAGAAAATAAATAGAAACAAAGTCAGATGAAACGTCGAATTTATCGATCAGTAACTTCTTTTTGTTATGTCATCATAATGTTTATTTCTATGCTAAGGTATATGATGATTCGTCTATTTACTTTTTCTACAATATATGAAACTCATTGTTGAAACTACTATTAATAATAAATAAATAAAGTTTGTTAATATGTTAAAACACAATACTTTTCATTAGAATTGTCTTTATTCTCTTCATACGTGTACGTTGATTTTATGTAAAAAGTACAGTAAAGATGAAGAAAACACAACAACAACCATTCAACCGAACAGATAATCATGTATGTTCACCAGTCATTAGTTTGTATGTGGATTTCGTTAATATTTTTTTATGAGAAGTCATGACTGGTGTAGTTTAATCATATGAAGATTAAGAAAAATATATTTAATGATCGTTGTTTTTTTTAAAGTTATGAGTTAACATACTCTTAAAATGTTAACCATTGAATTTTAACAAGTATGTCTGGAAATATTTTTCTTGTCGTTAAGATACCTGAAATCTAAAGTGTACACCGTTAAAGAGTTCACTAAATTAGAAAGAAACAATTTTTCATTACTCCTTGTTTATAAACAGTTCTTTAGCTAATGACAATCAGCCATAACTAATGTAGAATTGAATGGATATATATATCAGTCCCACTTGTCGCATTACATCAGCATAGCGGTATGAAGGTATCAAGATATATGTGGGAATAATTAAAACAGTAACAATATTGATGGTAAAAAAACGCACTTGGAATAGACAATATGATTCGAGTAGAATAAACAAATTCATAGAACAAGACAGTATAAGGTGATTTTATAACTTAAGATCTCAGGAAAGATAATGACTGAATGTATTTGTGCTATTTTGAGCTATTCTAAGTCACATCACCCGATGTTTCTAGCCATTAATTACGAGCTAATGACAAGCTATGGTTAAAACTATTCAAAATCATTTTTGAAAGTTAAAAAATAGTACATATCCAAAATATGATTGTACGGAGTTCAAAATGACTTCACTTAATAGGTAGGTCTTATGATTCATTATGAAATGATTTCTGATTAATATCAGTGCACAAATACAAGATACATACATTCTATTCTTAGTGATAATAAGGTTGTACATTTTTGTTTCCTTGTTACCCTTTTATTATTGATTTTTATGTTGATTACTATCAATTTATCAAAAACTAACTTCAGATAAGTAGCTTTAATGCATACGAATTATTCCTAATAGCGGAAGTAGATTTTTTAAAAAAAAACTCGGATTTACACTACAAAATAATGATTTAAAACTATTTCGCCTCAAACTAGAAGCATGAAGAGCCATCAGTCATATAAATTGCAATGATGTTATTCATTAATGTGTAATACTAGTATAGAGTGTTAACATGTCACCTTTCTTATTAAGTAATCATCTCTTGAAACTTCGACTTCAGTGGCTTAGACATGTTCTACGAATGTCGTCCTAGAGAATTCCATGTCGTGCGTTACTTACCGATTCTCAGGCCGGTTAAAAAAAGCGGGAAAGTGGTGAGTGTATGGCATGGTGTCGTGGTATTAAAGAAAGCTGTACAGGACTGGCTTCACTTGGTCCATCACGACTCCCTGGTTGGGCTCCTGAATATGGTGAAACACAGTGATTTGAGACGTTATCAGACATGGCTCAGAGTAGAAGCGATTGACCACTCTTCGGTAACTTTCTTCATGAATGTGAACGTAAGCTACTTGAACTGAAAGAAATCCTTCTGGTTATATTTTTATATCTGAACTGTTTCTCCCATTATTATTATTATTATTTCACTCTCATACATTAATTTCTGTTCGTTTTTGTTCTCACTTTTCTTGTAATCACTTTACATTCTCTATTTCTTCACAGCCTCATTGCTATTGTGGGGCACAGAGGTATTTGGTGTCCCTTTGTACCAATATTTTTGTGTTCAGATAAATAAATATTTCGTATTTAGCAATATCATCATTTGGGTTATTCTTTTGATTATTATTAACTCCATCGATAGCTTTTGTGGACACAGATTTATAATAGAGATTTTAAATTAATGTCATATATTAATTCCTGTATTCATGAAACAGGGAAAAATAGCCTTTTTAAAACGTATGATTTCAAAGACCTAATGAATTTGGTTGGTGATATAACAAGTCCTATATAAAATATTTGTAACGTCTAGGTATTTGGTTGTACAACTGTGGTCATCTACATATAATCGTTTGTCTTACTACAGTCAAGGATTTTTGTTGTTTTTAAGACAATTCAGAATCCAGTTTGATAATAGCTTGGAATAATGACAACCCTAACTCGAATTGCTATTATAATATGTGTGTCTTCGGTCATATTTCATGTTTATATGTGTGTTGCTAACTAACCTTCAGAGTGCAAAAGCTTATCCAAAGTATATTGTGCTTCATGAAGACAATCTTTATTAAGACAACTACAGAGGACGTGGTGTTTCGACCTTGGATTTCCATTTTGAATATTAAGAACCCAACCGATATAAATTTACTGTGATAAGATAATATTATTGGTGTGTGACACTAGGTTTCTTCGTCACAATCTGCAAGTAGTCTGCTTTTAAGAACAGCTTAGCTCACTTGTGGACTACCTAGAATGCTACTATATTTTGTTAATCAGTAAATTTGAAATGTTTCCTTATTTTCTGTTTTCATATAGACATAGTCAATTTTAAAATAAACTAGATTTCGTGATCACTCTCGTCCATGGAAATTGTTGAGCAATCTGTCCTGCCATCATTAATTTTTAATAAAGCCATATCTGATTACAGCTGCTTTCTAAACAGTTTCACGAATGACTTTTTGACCGATTATTAGAATATTGAAAGACTTGAAAAGAAACTCTAGTTATTGTTGAAGTAGTTAAAAACGACCATTTTCATTGATCTGAATTCATCATAATAAAAAACCTGTATAGATTATTGTCGGTGTCATATTTCAAATGCATCGAAAGAACAATATTCTATGTGTATATCGCAATTTTTTTCTTACTTCTCAGTACTCATGGCTTTAACAATAATCACCAACTAGTTAAACAATTTCCACAACTAAATATAATGAACATTCTAGATCAAGATAACAAAAAAGTAGTCTAATACTATTTGGCATTAATTCATACTTATTCCCATGAATATTAAATATTTTAAGTAATTTTCATATTTAACAGTTTGGTTTCAAAAAAACTATTTTTTTCTGTTACCGATCTTGTTTAGACTCCCTAAGTTAACGTGGAAAAATATTTGTATTCATAAATTAACACGAAATTTATTCAGATAAATATACGATCTGTTTCTGGTATTGGACATTTGATGCATAACGCATAACAAGAATCTGAGTTGCTTTCTGGTTGCATATCTACTTCTAATATTTCTTAAGAAGGTTCGCCTATGCCAAGCTAAATTTTGGCTATCCATATTGGATATAGAGAAGTTGTAGATGTAGAAAAGAACGAAGGTCCTGGGTTCGGATCCCGTGTGCGGGATCGTGGATGCACACTGTCATTAAGCAGTCCCATACTAGGATGAAATGGCCGTCCAGTGTTTTCAGGCTTTCAATGGCGGTCTAACATTGATCCATTTATTATCTCAATCAAAGCTTGACAATCTCCACAACCATTTCTAATAATAATATTATGGTTTAACTACCCTCTTATTTGTAAACAAATTATTTTATTTACTTAATTCTGTTCGGTTAACTAATAATTGTTTTCCCTTATATTCCTATTGACAAACATTTAAAGTCTTATAACAATTTTTTCTTAAGATTTAGCTTTGTAGTACTTGTATAATTTTCAAAATTAAAATGTTGCCGCCCATGTTCATTTTATTACATTCTTTCTTCTTTTTGGGGAGAAAAGGTTACTGTCCTATTATTGTTTCTGTCAATTATTCATTTTGTAGAAATTGAATTGTGCGATTATTTATTTTGAGTGTTGTTTGATAGATCGTTTAATATTGATTATTGTAATTTCTGTGGGAAATCATGTCAAATTAAAAACCAAAATCTTTAAGCCAATAAACTACTGAATTTCAAGGTTTCTCGTCTAAATTGTCCCGACCGTTGTTGCTACCTTGACGTGGTGGTCGGGCTTGCCTATCGTGATGAAGCAACCGAGCTATACTGGCTGGAACAACCGTTCCTCAAGGTCCTACCATGTCAGACAGGTCGGTTGAAGAGCGGTAAGACTAAAAGCAACAAACCCAAGGTCCGAAGGCGAAGTCGTACTGCTGACTGTACAGAGGTGTGACAGCAGTAAGGTGTTTCCTTCAGACAACCAGCATGACAGCGATGCTGCCTTCCCACAAGGAGGGGTGGGGTTAGAAAAGGTCGACCCTAAAAATGCACACCTCGCCTTATCCCACGGATATCCGTCTCCGGCGGTAAGGTCTCAATAAGTACGGAGCTAACACAAAAATTACCCATAACAAGGTCGTGTGTGACCGACCTCAAGCAGTTGTCCCTTGGGCACTGCGGTCACGCTTCCCGGTCACTAAGACCACCTCTAATCCAATTTCCTTTTCAGGTACCTCCAGAACAACCCTTCCACGGTGTGGGCAACCGGGAAGTGATAACCGCCCTCATACTTCTAACAGCACTCAAGACCACTGTATTCATAATCAACCTCCTCTTCAATTCCTATTATTCCTCCTACATCGACTTTCAACTCTATATTTTTCTCTCGGCTTCCACCTCAAGTGTCACCGTAGCCAACGATTCTAGTGCGCAAAACACTGTCCCAGGTCTACTGAAACCTCGCTC